ACAAAAATACCATGACCTGGGCGAGTCTGTTTTGAAGAAGTGGCGTTAGAAGAAGTCTAAGTTTAAACATGTTGACTCTCCAAAGAAATTGCAATCGTTGTCCTGTTGATATGTGGCTCTGTGGACTAATGAGTTTGCCGACCACTGGGTCAGTGGTTCTCCAGGACCGGCAGGGGCTACATCACCTGGGAGGGAACCTGCTGGAAAGCAAACGCCCGGGCCCAGCCCAGGCCTCCTGAGTGACAGCTCCGGGGGCGGGGCCCCGCCTGCAGGTGCGGGTGCCTGCAGGGGGTTGTGCCAGCCACTCAGCTGGAGAGCCCTGCGTTAGCTCTCCGTGGGCAGGTCTGCAAAGGTCTCCGGGGCTGTGGGTTCTGGGTGCCCCCCTACCCCCACCCCGACACTGCTGAAGAGCAGAAACCAGCCACCAGGTTCTGGGGGAGCAGGTGATTCCTGGAAGCCCCAAACCTCTCTGACTTCCCCTCGAGGTTAGCCCTGGGGGAGAAGCCCGGAGCCGAATCAAAGTGGCACGGAGCCATCAGAGATTAAAAAAAAATAATAATAAAGTTCCCAAAATATTATTGTTGGGAGTACTTGGAGGCTCTGCCTTTCCCACAAATATTGTGAGTCACAATAACGCTGTTTGCCTTCTTTCCCCTTCGGCAAATAAGGACCCCTCTGAGGGGGGGTGGGGTGTGCTGGTGTTTATTTATTTTGGGGTGAGCATCGTGATAGCAGAAATGTTTTGTACGTGATTATAGACCCCTGGGGCGAAGGCCCTGCCCCTGGGGAGGAGGGGTTGCAGGGGGCTCACCAGTAAATCCTGTGGACACGCCCCCCCAGTGAAGGAGACCCCAACGCGACAGTCCTTGTTTTTAGTGACATCACTCCAGCCATCTTGCTTCACCATAAAAGGCCAGGTCAGGCCCCTGGGAAAGGGAAGGCAGTCCTGGCAGAGGGTGCCTGGCCCAGCAACCTCATGTTTTTTTTACACAGCTTTTCCTGTGCCTCGGTTTCCCCTGGTTTCTCTGCCTCGTGGGGCAGCTGCAGGCTCAGGCCCCGGATCTGGTCTGGAGCCAGGTCCTTGGGAGGGATCCTTACTGGCAGATCCCTCCAGCGGCCGCCATAACCTCCTGCCTCAGAATCCTACTGACGTAAGTGACTTCAAGAGAGAGAACTGAGATGACAGAGTACGGAGAACAGCCCTGCTCCAAACCCAACTGGCCAGCGTCTGACCAAAGGCAGGGTGCATCCCGACACTACGTTCTTGAGAATAAGGCTGGACTGTGACCGGCATTTGGAGAGGTTACTGGTTTTTAACACTGGATTGGGAGAAACAGAACCATCTATCCACACAAAGGCGTATACAGAAGGGTTATAGCAGCTTTATTCGTAGACACCAAGAAATGGAAACCCAGCCGGAACCGGTTTGGCTCAGTGGATAGAGCGTCGGCCTGCGGACTAAAAGGTCCCGGGTTCGATTCCGGTCAAGGGCATGTACCTTGGTTGCAGGCACATCCCCAGTAGGGGGTGTGCAAGAGGCAGCTGGTCGATGTATCTCTCTCATCGACGTTTCTAACTCTCTATCCCTCTCAATTCCTCTCTGTGTAAAATCAATAAAATATATTCAATAAATAAATAAATAAATAATAAATATATTTAAGAAATGGAAACCCAAATGTCCACTAGCAGGTGAACCCATCATCGATCCTGGCCTGTCCATCTGTCCCAACAATGAAGGCTCACTGCTGAGCAGTCCGAGGAGCTCACCACCCCCGTGTCCCACAGCAGGCAGTTCTGGGAGTCACTCTTCTGAGGGAAAGAAGCTGGGCACGGAAGACCGCCTGCTGTGCGGTTGGTGTGTGTAAAATTCTAGAAAGTGCAAACGAACCCCTGGTGCCAGAAAGGAGGCCGGGGGCGATCTGTGGGAGAGGAGGGGGCCTGCAGGGCACAGGGAAATGGGGTTCTGACTACGCTCACTCTCGATGGTGGCAATGGTTTCATGGTTACACAGGTCTACACATACCAGGTCATACACGTAAAGGTGATTCTTATTAGGACATAGGTAATCCGTCAGGGAAGTTTCTGAAAACATGGGCTGGCAATACTCACTGCTTCCTGGAGAAACAAGCCCCACTTCTTCTGCCAGAGCCCCCACTTTCCCCGGGGAGCTGTTCTGTGTGGAGAACTGTTGACAGCCAGACAGCGACAAACAGTTTTCCAGGGCAAACAGTGCGTGAGGCTGTGGTGCGGCTCTTTCATGGTGACCGTGATAGCTGCTCGTCCACAAGCTGAGCGTTCCTTATCCACCAGGCTCATCGTTTCACAAACGTTCTCTTATTTAATGCGCACGCAGCCTTAGGCATAGGCATCACCAGACCCACTTTACAGGACAGGAAGCTAAGTCAGGGAAATGAAGTGACTTCCCAAGCAGTGGCAGGCAGATCCCGGATTGGAACTCTAAGATTTTAAACTGGCCATCTCTGGCTAGCGATTACAACTGCTTTTGGCTTACTTTTTTTTTTTTTTTAATTTTCATATATTCTAAGCGTTCGGCAATGTGCATGTACTGTTATTTTTTTTTCATGTACTGTTATTAACTGGAAGTGCTTTTATTATGTTAAAATCATTATAATGACTCTATTTTTTTTTTATTACAGTTGACATTCAAGATGATTTTATATCAGTTCCAGGTGTGCAGCTTGGTGGTTAGTCCTATAAAGTGGTCCCCCTATTTTTAAAGTCCCCACCTCACACCATCCTTAGTTATTACAGTATCACAGGCTCTGTTCCATAGGAAGACTGCACTGAGTATTTATTAATCGCCAGCTTGTATTCCTTAATCCCCGCCCCTTTTGCACCCAGTCCTCCCACCGCCCGCCCTCCCTCTCCGGCAGCCCTCCGTTTGTTTAGGTCTCTGAGAGTCTGGTTCAGTTTTGTTTGTTCGTTTCTTTTAGTCTGTGATTTCCGCGTGCAGGTGCAATCACAGTTCTCAAAGCCAGAGCCCCAGGAACCCTGGACCGGCATTTCTGCGGCCGCCCCTCCTCCTCCTCCTCCAGCCCTTGCCGGCCACTGCCCCCTGCAGCCTCCGCCCTCCCTCCCCGCCCGGTTCCCGCCCCTCCCCACCGGGACCGCCCCGGCTGCCTCTCCAGGCGCCCGACCCGCGGGAAGGCGGCTGGGCGGGGGCGCAGACCGGGCCCTGGGTGAGTGCCCGCCTGACCTGTGCGGCCCCTGGCCGGCTGCTCGGACCCGGCTGGTCCTGAGCTCCACGGAGACGGTAACGCCCGCCCCTCCCATCCCCACCCCAGGTACCCAACCAGGGCAAAGCGCCCCGCAGCCAGGAGTGTCCTGGCCTCGGGTAGGTAGTCAGGATTCTCTCCGGAAAGGATTGAAATATTGGGGGTGGAAAGGATTGAAATTGGGGGTGGAAAGGATTGAAATTGAGGGTGGAAAGGATTGAAATTGGGGGTGGAAAGGATTGAAATTGAGGGTGGAAAGGATTGAAATTGGGGGTGGAAAGGATTGAAATATTGGGGGTGGAAAGGATTGAAATTGGGGGTGGAAAGGATTGAAATTGAGGGTGGAAAGGATTGAAATTGGGGGTGGAAAGGATTGAAATTGAGGGTGGAAAGGATTGAAATTGGGGGTGGAAAGTACTGAAATTGGGGGTGCGTCAAGAGCCCTAGAGAAGGGAGCGGTTCACCGGGTCTCAGTTCAACAAGGAGAGACTCCTTTGATGGAAAAGAACAAATACATTTTTTGGACAATCTGTAGCTGGAAACCTTCCCATTTGGCGAAACTCTAATAATTCCCATAAACTTTGTCTCTCTGAACCCAGCTCCGAGACTCAGCCATCACTTGAAGTTACCACATGGAGGGGCCCTTTGGGACTGGGTAATTCAGAAGACAAAAATCAGAATAATAACAAATAACAATAAAGTGGACTGAGCACTTCCACGATGTGCCAGATGCTGTGCTTTATAATCTCACTTAATCCTTATGACAACCAAAACCTGTTTTACAGATAGTGAAACAGAGGCGGGCGAGGCTAACTCACGCCCCTGAGGCCACCCAGTGAGTCCAAAGTGAAGATAAATCTAACATCCAGGCCTGCTCCCTCCAAAGCCGTGTTCTTAGCCACAGTGACACTGCCTGAAGGGTGAGGTCCCCAAAGAGAGCTGTGCCGATGTTAAGTAACTGTGTCCTTGGTAACACTGAGTACCCCCTCTCAGATTAACTGTGTCCCTTTATAAGTGAGCTCTGTGGGTACTGCCCTCGTTCTAAAAGAGAGAGCATGGATCCATGAATATAGAGATTGGAAATGGAAAAATTCCACTTGGCTATCTCTATTTAATTCCCCACTTCCACTTTAAGACAAATGAGGCGAAAAAATGCTGAAACCGGTTTGGCTCAGTGGATAGAGCAGTCAGCCTGCGGACTGAAAGGTCCTGGGTTCAATTCCGGTCAAGGGCATGTACCTTGGTTGTGGGCACATCCCTGGTGGGGGCTGTGTAGGAGGCGGCTGGTCGATGTTTCTCTCTCATTGATGTTTCTAGCTCTCTATCGTTTTCCCTTCCTCTCTGTAAAAAAATAAATAAATAAAAAAATCAATAAAATATATATATATATATATATATATATATATATATATATATATTTTTTTTTTTTTTAAAGGTAAATGAGGCGCCTTAACATTGTCAGAAAAGGATGTGCAGCAATATTTGCCAGTTTTGGGGGGTGGGGAGGGTGTAAGCTGCTCCTTAAAATGTAGATACCTGTGTGTTGGGTTTCAGGGCGAGTGGCTGTGTGCAGACTGCAGGTGGATGTAACGCTATAGAGCAGGCGTCTTCAAACTTCTCTCATTATGAGAATCACCTGGTGGAGGTGTTAAAACACAGATTCCTGATAGCACTTCTTATAGTTGGGATCCGGGAATCTGTGTTTAAACAGCTCCACCAGGTGATTCTCATAATGAGAGAAGTTTGAAGACCCCTGATAGAGCGATGCCAGGAGAGAAGACGGCAGCACTCAGCCGTGAGGGGGCGCCGCTGCCCGTCGCCCCGATTCTCCAAAGGTTCCTGAAAACCTACGAGGAGCGCTGTGCACAGGAGCAGACGCCCGTGTGCCCGGCCATCAGGAAGGACCTGAAAACCAGCATCGACGATGACCAGGTCCTCAGGAAGGTGAACGGGGGTGCTCCTCTCCTTGTGCTTCTCTGACGTGAACTGACCAGGGTTCACGCCCCAGGAACGTGGGTCCTCGGCCCCCGGAGCACCTCACCGGCGGTGTCGCCCCCTCCGTGTTCCCGCCCTGAAGGCCAGAGCCTGGCTCAGGGCCCAGGGGCCTGCTCGGCACTTCTCCTGCCTTGTAATGTATTTTATTTATTTGTTTCTGTTCATCCTTCCCCGAGGATGTGTTTCCCATCGACTTGTAGAAAGAGTGGGAGAGATGGAGGGAGAGAGAGAGATTGATGTGAGAGAGACACACATTGACCAAGCCTGCAACCGAGGTACATGCCCTTGACTGGAAACGAACCAGACCCTCAGTCCTAGGGCCAGCACGCTACCCACTGAGCCAAACCGGCGAGGGCTGGATGTCTCTTTATGACACGCACCTGTGGTTTTTCTCTCATACCAGTTTGTGCTTGTAAAACCCGATGACTCCCAGCCCAGCCCCCTCCCGATGTCCTTGGAGCCTTTGCTCATGACAATTCGTGATGCGAGTTACAGGCCGGGGGAGCAGCCCTGCCTCTGGGGACTTCAGCTGAGCAACCCGGAGGTCGCCAGCCTCGTGAGTCACGCACTTTAAAAACGTTTATTCGATTAATCTCAAAATTGACAGGAAGCATGTTACACCATGTGTCCCAGCTATAATTCGTTTCGTTGTTGACTGTTACGCCCGCGAGGTTTTCTTTAAAAAAGAAACAGTGTGATTTTAATGAAACCTTTCACCCCGATAAAAGTACAGAAAATAATAGAACTGACATCCTTGTCTATTTCATGAAATTTACTTGAACACCCAATGTTTTCCAAACATTTTAAATCATAATCACTGCCCTGTTGCTCATTGGCCCGTGCCCTGAAGGGTTGTGGGTTCGATCCCGGGCCCGGGCCAGGCAGGACACGTGTATTAAAACATAGACATTGCGAATTTCACAGATACAATAGCTAAGCTTCATCTCACTTCTCCCATCGACTGCCCAGAGGCTCGATCCCTGCTTTAACGATGCTCTCAAAGCTGCTTCATGCCTATAGCCCCCTCCAGGCTCCCATGTCTCATTCACGGACCTTCGGCTACTCCTCACTAACCTGCCAGTCAGGCGACACATTTTTAAAAAAATATATTTTATTGAGTTTTTACAGAGAGGAAGAGAGAGGGATAGAGAGCTAGAAACATCTATGAGAGAGAAACATTGATCAGCCGCCTCTTGCACACCACCTACTGGGGATGTGCCCGCAACCAAGGTACATGCCCTTGACCGGAATCGAACCCGGGACCCCTCAGTCTGCAGGCCGACGCTCTCTCCACTGAGCAAAACCGGTTTCGGCTGCACATTTTTTTAAAAGTATTTTTTAACACTCTTAGAAAAAAACAAACAAACACTTTATGATGTTGGATTTGGCAGTGGTTTCTTGCATATGACACTAAAAGCACAGGCAACAAAAGAAAAGCTAGATGAACCGACTTCATCCAAACTCAACCCTTCTGTGCATCGAAAGGCACAGACAACGGAATGAAAAGGCAACCCACGGAGGGGCAGAAAATGATCGCAAGTCACGTATCTGATCAAGGGTTAACGGCCAGGGCGTACAAAGAACTCCTACTCCTCACCACCAACAAAGCGAGCGGCCTGACTTAAAAATGGGCAGAAGGCCTGAGGGGACATTCTCCAAGGAAGGTCTACAATGACCCACACGCCCCAGATGCCCCACATCACCACTAATCACTAGAGCACTGCAGGTCAAAGCCACAGTGAGATGCCACCTCATGTAAATGGGATGGCTGCTATAAAAAAAGCGGAAATCACATGTTGATGAGGGTGTGGAGAAATTGGAACCCTTGTGCGCCGCTGGTAGGAATGTAAAACGGCGCGGCCACCATGGAAAACAGTAGGGAGGTTCCTCAGAAAATCAAAATAGGATTATCAGACAATCCAGCAATCCCGTTTCTGGGTATGTGGCCCAAAGAATTGAAAACGGGGTCTCAGAGAGAGATTTATACTCTCGTGTTCATAGGAGCGCTCACATTGCCAAAGGTGGAAACAGTCCAAGTGGACAGGCAAATGGGGGGAAAAGTGGTTTATACATACAGTAAAATATTATTCAGCTTTAAAATGCTGAAACAGCTGAAACCGGTTTGGCTCAGTGGGTAGAGCGTCGGTCTGTGGACTGAAAGGTCCCAGGTTCGATTCCAGTCAAGGGCATGTACCCTGGTTGCAGACACATCCCCAGTAGGGGTGTGCAAGAGGCAGCTAATCGATGTTTCTCTCTCATCGATGTTTCTAACTCTCTATCACTCTCTCTTTCTTTCTGTAAAATATCAATAAAATATATTTTTTAAATTATTATTTTTTTAATGCTGAAACAGGCTACATACAGCATGGACCTTGAAGGACTTAGGGTACGTTAAAGAAGCCAGTCACGAAAGGACAAATACTAAGTCATTCCACTTAGATGAGGTCCCCAGGGGGGTCAGGTTCAGAGACAGAAGGAGTGGCAGTTAGCCGCCAGGGGCCGGGAGGGAGGGGGGTGGGGAGGGAGAGGGGAGAGAAGGAGGGTGATTTATTGGGCACAGAGTTTCTGTTTTGCAAGACCAAGAAGTTCTGGAGACGGATGGTGCTGACGTTTACACCACCGTGGGAATGCACTTAACGCCTCTGAAATGCACACTTCAAAATGGTGACGATGGTACCTTTTATGTTGTGTGTACTAGTATTTGACCACAATTTATGACGACGATTTGAAATCTATAACCAGGATTTTTAGTTGTTTCCATTTAGAGGGCCCGTCAGGGCACCCAGTCCATTCGGGGCGGAGATACAGCGCTGTCCCTGATGCTAACACTTCGCGGTTCCTGAAAGCGCGCCCTCGGGCGGTGTGGCGGCTGCGGGGAAAGTCCTCCGCGGATGCTGTGGAATGCCCGCGGCAGGGCTGGAGCCCCGGAGGCTCCGACCTCCGGCCCGGACAGCCTGTTTTGCACAGACCAGCCTGACCGGAGGCGGCGTGACCGCCGGGGCGCCTCCGGCAGAAGCGGCTGGAGAAACCCAACCGCACCAGCCCGGGCCTTCCCTCGCACAGAGGCCGCGGCACGGCGCCAGGTCCGGGTGGCCACTGCCTTTTTATTCTCAGCCGGGGTATCATTTGCAATCCTATCTCTGACCAACCTGTCATTAGCTCAAAAAGCCCCAAACCCTCCAGACCTCACCAAGCCTCCCTTCGGCCTAAATTCAGAGCGGAAGGAACCCTCAGGGGGTGGTGATTCCAGCTGCTAAAAGGGGGCCTTCATGGCTGGTAGCTTTAACCGCCCTGCCCTGTCCGGAAGGCAGGGACTTAACGGTGACTGGGATCATTTGGCGTTTTGGGGGTTTTGTTTGTTTGTTTAAATATATCTTTATTGATTTCAGAGAGGAAAGGAGAGGGAAAGAGAGATGGAAACATCAGTGGTGAGCCGAAACCGGTTTGGCTCAGCGGTAGAGCGTCAGCCTGCGGACTGAAAGGTCCCGGGTTCGATTCCGGTCGAGAGCATGTGCGTTGGTTGCGGGCACATCCCCGGTGGGGGATGTGCAAGAGGCAGCTGGTCGATGTTTCTCTCTCATCGACGTTTCTAGCTCTCTGTCTCTCTCCCTTCCTCTCTGTAAAAAATCAATAAAATATATTTTAAAGAAAGAAAGAAAGAAAGAAAGAAAGAAAGAAAGAAAGAAAGAAAGAAAGAAAGAGAAAAAAACATCAATGATGAGAGAGAATCGTGGATCAACTGCCTCCTGCAAGTTCTCTACTGGGGATCGAGCCCACAACCCTGGCCTGTTCCCTTGAGTGGAATCGAACCTGGGACCTTTCCCTTTGCAGGCCGGCGCTCTATCCACTGGGCCAAAGCGGCTAGGGCTCCCATATAATTCTTTGATGAGTCTTCCTGTTTAAGGGGAATTATTCTGTCTGCATGATACTTTCTCCTTGGGTCAGCAGAAAGTTATTTTAGAAGCAAACATGTTGAGGTATTTAAGATGGTTGACTTTTAAGAAACATGAACACAGAGAACATATTAATCTTTATGACACAGGAACCCTTTGCTTCACATTCTCAGGCTTTGCTTCTGGAATCGAAGGGGCACACGCCCTGCCCGCTGACCACCCTGGAGCTCATTGACTGCAAGATGGACCCGTGGTCTCTGGGGAGGCTGGGGCAGGCTCTGCAGCTCAGCAGCTTGCATTCTCTTGTCCTCGATTACTGCACGTAAGGCTCCGCCCGCTGTCAGCTGGGGGAGGCAAGGGCAGGGGAGGGCAATGCCCCATTTCCTTGTGGCTCATCGAGTCATCACTGAAAGGGGGCACTGCAAAGCCGCCTTAGTGATAATGTTCCTGAGTGAACGTCAGGGTTCTCACAAAAGAGTCTTTTCACTCACTTACTCTTTCAACAAATATTTGTCCAAGGCCTGTCTGTGCAAGACTCTGTGCTCATTGCTAAGGAAGATGCAAACATACCCAGGGTGAGGCTGGTGTCCGGGGGAGCCCTCAGGCTAGCAGTGGAGAGGAGATATGCTCTTCTTCTTTATATATATATATATATATATATATATATATATATATATATATACATACACACAATATATATACACACACAGTATATATATATATGATTGTTTTTTTTACAGAGCAGAAAAGAGAGGGATAGAGAGTTAGAAACATCAATCAGCTGCCTCGTGCACACCCCCTATTGGGGATGTGCCCACAACCAAGGTACATGCCCTTGACCGGAATCAAACCTGGGACCCTTGAGTCCACAGACCGACGATCTATCCACTGAGCCAAACCAGTCAGGGCGACATGCTCTTCTTTTTTTTTCTTTCTTTTTGTTTTTCTTTTTTTTTTTTTTAATATCTTTTATTGATTTTGTATAGAGAGGAAGGGAGAGAGATAGAGAGTAAGAAACATCGATGAGAGAGAGTCATCAATCAGCTGCCTCTTGCACACCCCCTACTGGGGATGTGCCCGCAACCAAGGTACATGCGCTTGACCAGAATCGAACCCGGGACCTTTCAGTCCCCAAGCCGACGCTCTATCCGCTGAGCCAAACAGGTTTCGGCAGACATGCTCTTCTTGATTGTGCAGAATGTAAGGTGGACGCTGAGTAGCACAAAAGAGGCGCATATAAAGCTTAGCAGTCGTGTGGCTAAGGGAAACCACAGCCTCGAGGGACAGTGCAATGGGAGGGGAGGCGCAACCCAGGGCTGTGGAAGGAGGTCTGGGAGTTGGGCTTCCCTGAACCTGCTCCGGACAAATTTTCAAAGGCCACTCCTACCTGGCCCGTGGGGCTGAGTGGTGGAGCCTCGACCCACAAACCAGGAGTCGTGTACCAGTGAGTCTTCCCAGACTCCTTCGGCCCTGCCAGCTGGGCCATCTCTCGTGACCTCGGGGCTCAGAGCTTGCTTGAATGGCTACTCAGTCCACCCACTGCTCTCTGCTTAGAAGGCAGACGCCAGGCCCCCTTCCTCCACACGCAGGCAGCCCCCTCTGTCAACCCAGCCCAGCCCAGAGCCAGCCCGGGCCCGGGAAGCCCAAATCAAGGATCACAAAAGTGCCTCTAACTGCCCGAGGGGTGCTTGACAATGACTAATCCAGTGGGTGACATGGGTCTCACACGTCACTAATTTGTTCCTGTGGTTTCCTTGTAGACTTGGGAGTGAAGAAATTGAGAGCATTTTCTCAGGCCTGAAGAACAACCGCAGGCTTCAGGGCCTCAGCCTGCGCTACTGTGGGCTGGGGCCGCCGAGCGGGCCACGCCTGGGCTCTGTCATCTGCCGGAGTGCCATTTGGTGAGAGGTGCTCCCTGTTGCCCAGCCTGCCTCCTGGCACTGTTCTCTCTGGAATTACATAACTAGCTTATTGACAGAGCCCACTAGTTCCTCTAACGTTTCAATGTGTTTCTAATCATCTTTTTCTCTCCTCTCGTTATGTTGTATTTTCTTCTTCTTAATGATAAGAGCAAGATCCTCCACTTACACTTGAGATTCAGGGATGTCGTGTTCCATGCATGTCTCTGGCCATAACATGGCCACCAGGTCTCTGTTTTATGCCATGGTCTGTTATGTATTACTAGAGGCCCCTTGCACGAAGATCCATGCAAGAATAGGCCTTCCTTCCCCTGGCTTCGCTCCTGGCAGCCTGGAGCCGGCAGTCTTTGTTCCCAGCCAAAGCACTGCTCCTGTAATTCCCTCTGCCTCCCCACCCTCTCCCTCATAGCAGGCATCTTGCCCCGTCAGGCTGCTCCGTGCCTGCATATGCAAATTAACCCACCATCTTTGTTGGGTTAATTTGCATACTCACTCCTGATTGGCTGGTGGGCATTGCAGAAGTACGGTCAATTTGTATGTTTTTCTTTTATTAGTGTAGATGCTTATTTATTATGTTGTAATGAGAGAGAGATGTTAGCATTTTATTTTATGAGGTGGAGACCTCTAATCCTGATTGAGAGAGTTGAAATAACATCTAATGAGCTGTGTATTTGGCCCCTTCCCCAGCGAGCTGCACCTGGATGGCAATTACCTGCAGTGTTCCGGAGCGCTGGCCCTCCTCAGGCCCATAGCAGAGTATGCCGAGTCGCAGGGCAGAGGCCCGCCAGCCACAGCCTGGCCAGACTCCAGCGTCCCCCGCACGCACTCCCAGGTAAGCGCTGGAGGACGAGAAGGACACTGCTTTGCCGCCAAGTGGCCTTCCCAGTGGTCCATCTCGAGTCTGCTTCCTGAGTCTGCGTGAGACCGGAACAAGAGACCCCCAAAGATATTCTCGTCCAGATCTTCAGAATCTGTGACTGTGCGACCTTCATGGCAAAGGGACTTTGCAGATGTGAGAGAATTAAGGGTCTTGCTTTAGGGGATTATCCTGGGTTAGCTGAGAGGGTCCAGTGTAATTGCCAGCGTCTTCATGAGAGGGGGGCAGGACGGTCGGAGTCAGAGAGAAGGCAAGGTGGTAGGAGGAGGAGAGATGGCAGTGAGGTGAGGAAGGGGCCATGAGCCAGGACGTAAGTGCTGGAAAGGGCTAGGAAGCGGGTCCTCCCCAGAGCCTCCAGAAGGAGCGCAGCTCTGCTGACGCCTTCACTTTGGCCTCTAAGACCTTTCAGACTTCTGACCTCCAACACTGGAAGATAATAACAGTTGTGTTGTTTGAAGCCACTACATTGCTGGTCATTGGTTACAGCAACAATAGGAAACAAGTGCAGCATGCACCTCAGCAAGCAGCCCAAACAAAATTAAAGTCAACGAGGGTTTTGTTGGCTCGCATAACTGGGGTGTCGGCAGGTGGTGTGGTCTTCAGACATGGCTGCGGTCAGGGGTGCAGACCACATCATCAGGAGAAACCCAGTTTGCTGCTCATGACCCTGCTTCCCTTCTGAGGGTTGGTCTCCTCTCCCAGTGCACTAGACTTGCTGTGGCAACCATGTCACAACATATACATGTATGAAGTCATTATGGTCGACACCTGAAACTAATATAATGTTATCTGTATCTCAATTTCTCTTATTTATTTATTTACTAGAGGCTCAGTGCTCGAATTCATGCACCAGTGGTGTTGCTTGGCCTGGCCTGTGGGATCGGGCCAAATCCAGCTCTCCAACATTCCCTGAGGGATCCTGGGTTGGGAGAGGATGCAGGCCAGGCCGAGGGACCCCACAGTGCACACTCGGCTGGAGAGGAACCGCAGGAGGGCTCCAGGGCGTGTCTGGCCTATCTCCCTCTGTCCAGATCGGCCAGACGCCAGCAGCAAGCTAACCTATCAATCGACTGTCTGCCCCTGCGTGGTCAGTGCACATCCTAATGAGCAGTTGAGCAGCCTTAGCATATCATTAGCATATTACGCTTCGATTGGTTGAGTGGCTGACTGCACAACCGGACACATAGCATATTAGGCTTTTATTATATATAGGATTTATTTTTAGTCCTCACCCGAGGATATTTTTCCATTGATTTTTAGGGAGAGTGGAAGAGAGAGGGAAAGACAGAGAAACATTGGTTTGAGAGAAACACATTAATTGGTTGCCTCCTGCACACACCCCAACTAGGACCCAGGCTGGGGAGGAGCCTGCAACTAAGGTACATGCCCTGTATGGACTTAAACTCAGGACCCTTGGTCCACAGTCTGACGCTCTATCCACCGAGCCCAACTGGCTAGGTCTGTATCTCAATTTTTATTTTTTTTAATTATTCGCCCTAACCAGTTTGGCTCAGTGGATAGAGCGTTGGCCTGCAGATTCAAGGGTACCAGGTTTGATTCTGGTCCAGGGCATGTACCTAGCTTGAGGCACATCCTCAGTAGGAGGTGTGCAGGAGGCAGCTGATCGATGTTTCTCTCTCATGGGTGTTTCTAATTCTTTATCCCTCTCCCTTTCTCTCTGTAAAAATCAATAAAATATATATATATTTTTAAATTATTCACTGACTTACCCTATTTTAAAAAAAAGAGCTGAAGTCAAGGCTACTTTGTGGAAATGGGCTCAAAGAACTTGCAATGAACACAGATTCACAAATGGTTATCCCCCATTTAGGTATTTTCATGGTATCAAAATTATACAGGTTATTAGTTGAATTTGATAATTCAATTACCCCAACAAATATACAAAAGGAAGCCTCGAAACAATGTTTGCTGTCAAATATTATTATACTTTCCCTTTGCTATTTTCTACCAAGATTCTTATAAAAAGCCATGGTCCGATTTATGAAGTCCTGTATTGTAACTTTGGTTTCTAAATAATTAAGTGAATCTGTGATTTTCTTTTGAAGAAATCGTTGGAAATGTAAAAGCACCCTTGTAAGGGATTGCTTGTGGCAGGCAGGGACAGGTGTGAGAGGGGTGGGACTGGAAAAGTGAAGACAAGGAGACCTGGCCAGGTTGCTCAGTGGTTGGAGCATCATCCTGTGCACCAAGTGTTTGTGGGTTCAGTTCCTGGCCAGGGCACATACCTAGGATGTGTGTTTGATCCTGGGTCAGGGCACGTGTGGGAGACAACTGATCAATGTTTCTCTCTCGCATTTGATCTTTCTCTCTCCTCCCTCCTTCCTTCCCTATCTCTCTCTCTGATATATATACACACATATATGTAAATGAAAATATATCCTAAAAAGTGACAAGGGTGCAGGGAAGAAATGTGACTATTCTGGTTATTCCAACCGGCTTTCTGCTGAGAGGGGCATTAGGCTTAGTCTTCGGGTTCTGGATTTGTTTTCCCCGAGAGCCACAAATGCCAGGGTGAGAGCTGACCACAGAGAGCGCCTGCCCTATCATTCTTCACAGCAGCCTGGACAGGGTGCAAACTGCTCCCGCTGAGCCGCGCCCTGAGGTCAGTGGTCGGCACACACAACCTCTTGTAAATCCGTCTCTTTACTCAGGATTTTAGCAATCGCAACAACAAAACCCACACCGAGTGCATGTCTAGGCTCCCCGCTTCCTCTATGGCTGACGGTGACAGGCCCTCACACGGACAGTCACTCGAACCTTCGTTGCTGTTCAGTGCATCCAGTGCATGTTAGCTCTTCTGGATTCTTCTGGGTCAGGGTATCGGGCTGCTGGGCTGCCATAACAAATACCACAGGCTGGGTGGTTTAAAGAACACAGTTATTTTCTCACAGCTCTGGAGGCTGGAAGTCCAGCTCCAAGTGCCAGCGGATCCAGTTCCTATTAAGAGCTCTCTTTCTGGCTTACAGATGGCCGGCCTCTTGCTGTGTCCTCACATGGCCTTTCTAGGTACATACACTCTAGTACACACACTTACACACACACACACACACACACACACACACGCTCCCACACATGCACACACGCACATGCAGCACTCTCTGGTATCTCTCCAGTATGGGCACTGATTCTATATGACCAGGGACCCACCTTTATGACCTCAATTAAACCTTCATTACTTCCTAAGACAGGGGTGGGGAACCTCTGACCAGCAGGCCGCACAAGACCCAATAATCATTTGGGTTGGCCCTGCCGAGGCATTAGGGGTGAGTTAAGTAATGTTTGACCAAATATAGCAGGCTGGTTTTTAAGTTGATAATTTAGTGTGGCCCGAGAATGATGTTATACACACCCACGTGACCATTGGCAGACACAAGGTTCCCCACCCCAGTCCTAAGAGGACAGTAGGGGTTCAGAATGAGTCGCCCCAAGATGTACCGGGTATGTGAATTGTTTTGAACCAAAGGCCACCAAGACCTTGTGGGCTCAAAAGAAACTTCTACCCCAGCTTAACTACCTAGACCCGTGGTCGGCAAACTGCGACTCGTGAGCCACATGCGGCTCTTTGGCCCCTTGAGTGTGGCTCTTCCACAAAATACCATGGCCTGGGTGAGTCTATTTTGAAGAAGTGGCGTTAGAAGAAGTTTAAGTTTGAAAGATTTGGCTCCAAAGAAATTTCAATCTGTTGTACTGTTGATATTTGGCTCTGTTGACTAAGAAGAATTTGAATTAGGGGCCTTGCCCAAAACAAGAGATTTTTAGAGATAACCTCTGTTTGACTTATCTGTAGGGCAGGATAAACGACTAATTACTGAACATCTGCTCTTCTTCTTGCCCTGCAATGACCTTCCTTCCCTCTGAAGCCTCAAGGTGATCCTTAGCTCAGAGGGATGTGCTTCCTGGTTCACAGACAGCCGTCTTCTCGATTCATATGATCCTTCATATGATCCTATAATATATGATCCTTCATCAGAGGATCATATATTATAGATCTCATTATTGCTTCCTGTCTTTGCACCCCTCATGTATGGGGGGTTCCTAGACATACGTATGTGATTAAATTTGGTTATTTTCTCTTGCTAATTTGTCTCCTATTTGATTATTAGACCAGCCAAAAGGATGTTGAGAGTAGAAGACAGTGTTTTTGCTCCCCCTTAGCCCCATCTCCAAATATGGCCATCTGGGTGTTAAACTTAGGAATTTTGAGAGGACTCGGACTTCCTGTCCATAGCAGAAACGCACACAGCAGCTCTGAGTAAAAGTGCCTTCTACTTCAGAGCTGGACTAATACACCTCTGCTCAGGCAAATTAGTTTGCCCATCCTGATTTTACTTCTTTGCCAACAGGATTAGCCATAAATGGAAAAAATGGAGGGGCGGGGGGAGAGACACATGAGGCTAGAAAATGATTGTGGTCCATTACCAGCCCTCTCTCCTGACCACAGTGGGTATGGGTCCCAAGCCCGCCAGCTGGACTTGGCCACCCTAAAATGTGATTCTTGAGCAAAAGAACCTGTTACCCTACCCCCAACAGCCTGTGCTTTAGCTCACCCTGCCCGGCCCCCAGTTCTGGTCCCTTACAACCCTTATCTTGAAACAAGGCTGTTCCATTCTGTTGTGTCCACCCAAAATTCATATGTTGAAATCCTAATTCTCAAGATGATGGTGTTAGGAGGTGGAGCCTTGAGGAGGTGCTGAGGTCATGAGAGCAGAGCCCTCCTGAGTGGGATTTGGGATTTGTGCCCTCATAAAAGAGGCCCCATGCCGAAACCGGTTTGGCTCAGTGGTAGAGCGTCAGCCTGCGGACTGAAAGGTCCCGGGTTCGATTCCGATCAAGGGCATGTACCTTGGTTGCGGGCACATCCCCGGTAGGGGGTGTGTAAGAGGCAGCTGGTCGATGTTTCTTTCTCATCGACATTTCTGGCTCTCCCTCTCCCTTCCTCTCTGTAAAAAATCGATAAAATAAAAATAAAAAAAGAGGCCCCAGTACATATAATACCTTAATAAAAAAAAAAAATGAGGAAAACAAACAAACAAGAAGCCTCCGAGAGCTTCCTCCCCTCGGCCACGTGAGGTTACAGCGAGAAGACGGCTGTCTGTGAACCAGGAAGCCAGCTCTCACCCGACACTGAGTCTGCCGGTGCTGGGACACCAGAAGGAGGAAATGTTTGCTGTTTCTAAGCACCCCCAATGCACCAGGACACGGAATACCTGGAAACTTCCAGGGGGGTGAATGTGAGAGGGTGTAGATGATATGCTTTTTTTAATGTCCAGAGTCTCACCTTCCAGGACCTGATACCTGGGATTCATTTCCTTGGTCGCCATCATCACTTTACTTTGCCAAAGAAAGGCACATTTCTTCCCGATCCAGTATCTGAGCAGAGCGCCTTCCCTAGGGGACAAAAACAAAGAGGCAATTCGCAATATTAATGTAAGTGTTAAGAAAGTGAGTGTCTCTAATAAATCAGAGACAACCCACTTTTCACACATGGCTGGCTTCCAATTTTTGCTTTTAATGTAATTTAAGGAGAGCACAATCACTATTAACTGACAGGTTATTAAAAACCTTTTTTTCAATCAACCAGATGTGATTTCTAGCCTATAACTCAGGCGTTCACAGAATTGAATAGTATTGCTATGATAAAAATCATTCTAGAATTTCCCAGCTAAGTTTGAATTTTAGATTAAAAAATCTAAATAATTTGCCGAAACCGGTTTGGCTCAGTGGTAGAGCGTCGGTCTGCGGACTGAAAGGTCCCGGGTTCGATTCCGGTCAAGGGCATGTACCTTGGTTGCAGGCACATCCCCGGTGGGGGGTGTGCAGGAGGCAGCTGGTCGATGTTTCTCTCTCATCAACGTTTCTATCTATCTATCTCTCTCACTTTCTCTCTGTAAAAAATCAATAAAATATATTCTATATATATATATATATATATATATATATATATATATATATATATATATATATATATATATATATAAAGTTTATTATAAGTATGTCCCATGCAATGTTTGGATATAGTAACTAAAATAATTGTTCTTTATTTCTCTGACATTTAAATTGAACTGGGTGCCCTGTATTTGGGGCAGGGAGGGGGTGGGTAAGAAAGATTACGTCTGGCAACCCTATTCCCTTGCATCTGTATGAACAAGATTTCCCAGGATTTACAATTATCACAATGAAAAATAGAAATAGCATTGATGTGTCTGCCACATTTTAGCAGTAATATTCTTTAATGAATACAAGAATCTTTTTCTATATATATAAAAGGTAATATGCAAAGTGTCTCCTCTGGAGTTCAACAGGGAGACTGGGAGTTCAATTGCTCGCTATGACGTGCACTGACCACCAGGGGGCAGCATGGAATGAAAGAAACCCCAACGGGCAGCTGGGAAAGGAAGGTCTGGCAGCTGGAAGGCCCTAATTGGCCCTGGTCACCAGTCAGACCTAGGGATCCTGCCTGTGCATGGTTCTGTGCACTGGGCCTTGAGTTAGTTATAAAGACAAATATGTAAAACAACCATTTACCTCATTGACAGGCATTCAATAAATTTTATGTTTGTATTGAATTAGGATTTATCAAAATGTATAACATACATATGTTGTATTAATCAATCATATTCTTCTAAAAATTGATTAATTGCAGAAGACATTTTTAAAATATATATTTTATTGATTTTTTACAGAGAGGAAGAGAGAGGGATAGAGAGTTAGAAACATCGATGAGAGAGAATCATCGATCAGCTGCCTCTTACACACCCCCTACTGGGGATGTGCCCGCAACCAAGGTAGATGCCCTTGACCAGAATCGAACCCGGGACCTTTCAGTCCACAGTCCGACGCTCTATCCATTGAGCCAAACCGGTTTTGGCCATTTTTAAAACTTTAGATTTTAAAATATTAAATTTAAAGTATTAAAATTTTGATTTTTGTAAATGTAGCAATTTTGTTACGGAGAAGTGTTACAGGGTGAGCTATAGAAGACTCAAATATAAAATTTTGTGAAATAAGTAGAATGTGAATACAAATGAAAACTCAAGAAGAAAGGAGAATAAGGTAAAATTTTAAATCACTAAAGAAGAATTTGCTCATGTTTTGAGTTGTTCAGGATTGATTGATTGATTGATTGATTGATTTGAGAGAGGGGAAGGGATAGAGAAAGAGAAACTGATCAGTTGCCTCCCATACGCACTCTGACCAGGACTGAACCACAATCTACGTATGAGTCCTGATCAGAAATCAAACCCAAAACCTTGGCACATTGGGAGGACTCTCCAACCAATTGAGCTACCAGCCAGGGTGGTTGTTTGGAATTTTAAAAAACATATTTTTTATTGACTTCAGAGGGGAAGAGAAAGGAAGAGAGAGACAGAAACATCGATGAAAACAGAGAATCATTGATCAGTTGTCTCCTGCACACCCCCTACTGGGGCATGTGCCTTGACCAGAATCAAACCCAGGACCTTTCAGTCTTCAGGCCAGCACTTTACCCACTGAGCCAAACCAGCTGGGGCTGTTTGGAATTTTTTTTAAATAGAGGATGGTGGCTATCAGATCGCTTGGAAATTTAGATTCCATTTGATACATTTAAAAGAAAGGTAAGACAAATTTCATTTTTAAATGTCACATGTGCCATCTTTGCTAGAAATCTCATCCTTTGAAATTTTAAAACTTAGGATGACCAAGTTTAAATTCCAACCTCAGAACGTACCAGGTAGCTTTTCCGTAGTCCCCTTGGGTGCTATGAAAGCAGTGACGCTGGGAGGCCACGGCTCGGTAAGGCCCGGATGTTTGGTTCTCTCTCCTCCTCTGTGAGTTACTCCCGGACCTCCTCCTTCCCACCAGAGTCGGGCACAGTGGGTTTCTGTTGCTGACAAAGAGGCATGACTGCCTCACGATCCAAAGCCCAGTTTGTTTTCTGAATTACATGTTATCATGTATAATATGTAATCTTAGTAATGATGCTCCTTCCTCCCTCCCTCCTTCCTTCCTTCCGTCCCCAAGGTCTCTGTGCTCAAGCGTGTCCCTCCTTATCTGTGCCAAGTCCTGGTTCTTGGGAGACATTAGTGCAGGAAGCAAAGAGCCTGCCCCAGAGGAGAGGCTGGGAGCGCATTTGCCCGTGTGTGTGTGTGTGTGTGTGTGTGTGTGTGTGTGTGTGTCTGTGTGTCTGTCTGTGTGTGTGTGTGTCTGTGTGTGTGTGTCTGTGTGTGTGTGTCTGTGTGTGCATGTGTCTGTGTCTCTCTGTGTGTGGGTCTGTGTCTCTGTGTGTGGGTCTGTGTCTCTGTGTGTGTGTCTGTGTCTCTGTGTGTGTGTCTGTGTGTGTGTGTGTGTCCGTGTGTGTGTCTGGGTGTGTGTGTGTGTCTGTGTGTGTGTCCGTGTGTGTGTGTCTGTGTGTGCATGTGTCTGTATCTCTCTGTGTGTGTCTGTGTCTCTCTGTGTGTGTCTGTGTCTCTGTGTGTGTGTGTCATTGTGTGTCTCTGTGTGTGTGTGTGTCTGTGTGCAGGGGGGTGGGAGCCAGACAGTTTCTAAAAGGCATAACAAACATATACGGGCTACAGCTCGTTAGAAGGTGGAAAAATAAAACGTCAAGAGAGAGAGGCAAGTTTGGGAGTCTGGGGAAGGAGGATGGTGGGGTGTGATTTCAAACAGATGGTTGAGGGTGGGTCTCCTAGGAAAGGTAACCTTTGTGTACAGACACTGGAGGTGAGGGAGGGAGCCTGAGGATAAACCGGGAGCGCGTTCCAGATGGAGGGGATGGCCTGCCGGAGGCCCCAAGGAGCGAGCAGGGTGATAACTGGGACCAGGGATTTAGGGCCTTCTTAGCTAGGAGGGAGCAGAGTAGTTAGGATTTAGATTTGAGAAGGACCCCTCCATCTGTGTGGCAAACAGTCTGGGTGGGGAAAGGGGGAGGGCGTTTTATTGGGAGGCTGTTTTCAACCAGCTAAGGGTGCCTACCCAGGTGAGAGGAGGGTAGCAGAGAGGTCAGCTTCTGCATCTGTACCATTTCCTGCAAGAGACAGAAAAAGAAGGGTGTTATGACTCCAGTGATAATGCACTAATATTTTTTATAAAATATTTCAAAAAATATGTCCCTCTCTGCTACATTCTCCCAAACCCCAGGGATTTAGAGCCGTTTTGCAGTGGGCAGCTGTGGGGTGTGAAGAATCTATGGAAGGTTCTCGGGGCCCTACTTGGTTGCTTGTTCCCCTCAAGCCTTTGGGGAAATAAACATAAAAAAGACAGGACTGAGCTGAAGTGAACGCAGTTTTGACAGTGGGTGGGATAATTCTCTCTCCTGAGAAAGCTCTCTGCCCAAGTTGTACGTAAAATGAAGGCAATAAGCCAATAGGTAATTAAGTGTGTAAAAAACACATCCACTTTTTAAAATAAATGGGATAAGTGGTAGGAAATATCAACTAGGATTTGTATGGCTCTGTGGGTGTATTGCAGAAGTTGTTTATAATCTTTTCTTGGCATGTAATACAATAAATTCTTAGACATGATGCTTAAAAATAAACAATAAAACAAAAACAAAACAAAACAAAAAAAAACCATCCATGCATCTTTGAACAGGCTTTTTTTTTTTTTTTTTTTTTTTATCCTTTCTATTTTTCCTTACAGCCAGTCAGAGAGGAAGTTCAACTTTGAACCAAATGACGAAGTCCTCTGAAACTGGAACTGTGAAAACTACTTCAGGGAAGAAGAAGAAGAAGAAGAAGAGAAAAAAGGGTACTTTTGTTGTTGTTTCCATAGTTCCTCTCACTTCCTTCATCATGAAATCACTTCCTCTTTTCCTGGGCTGTGTGTGCGCACTGCTACTGTAATTACCCCAAACAGAAAGGTTGGCGGCCTTGAAGAACTGCCGGCTGCCTAGGGTCACTCTTTCAGTCACGTTGAGGAGAGACACTGTCCTCAAGGCCGTTTTGGCTGGTGAGTGAGGGATGCAGGAAGGGATGTCCCTGGTCCCTGGTCCCAAGGAGCTTACCTTCTGGACCTTCGAGCTGCCTCCGTTGAAGATGGTTATCCTGCCCCCGTGAGCTCCTGCCTCTCGGCGGTATTAGTTCCTGAGGGCTGCCAGAGCCAAGTACCACAGACCAGGTGGCTTAACGAGTAGCAACACACTGCCTCACGATGCTGGAGCCTGGAAGTCAAGGTCGAGATGTTGGCAGGGTTGGCTCCTCCCGGAGGGCCTAAGGGAGGATGGGTTCCAGGCCTCTCACAGCTTCTGGTGCTTTGCTGGCAGCCTGTGGAATCCTTGGCTTGAAAGGACCCCAACCTTGGCCTTGGCGTTCTCCTTTTGTGTGTGTCTGAGCCCAGATGGCCTCCCTTTATAAGGACACCAGTCACGTTGGATTAGGGCCCACTCTGATCTAGATATGGCTTCATCTAGGTTAATTATGTCTGCCACGACCCTGTTTCCAAATAAGGTCACATGCCGGTGAACTGGGGGCTTCCACATGGGAATCCGGGAGGAGACAAAAGTCAACTCGGTGTGTAGGATACACACCCAGGAAACAGCAACAACACAAGCAGCATCTGCCAAGGGCCACACGTGGACCCTGGGTTCAGAGAAGGGACAGAACTGGGGAGACGTTTCTGTGAACGAGCCAAGATCCGGCCTGATGCAGAAGGAAAGAAAGAAAAGGCTTAATGAGGAAACACTAAGCCCCCTGCCCCTGCCGCTGGAACGAGAGGGTGGGGGGGCGCGCCTGGCAGGAGGTATGGGGCCCATGAACGAGGACCTCACACATCAGACGAAGCGTTGGACCTGACCCAGCAGACAATGGGAGCCGTTAAAGCCTTTTGTCTCCCAAGGGAGCCTGAGCCTCACATCAACAGGAACACCTTGTGTGGAGTGTACATTTGTTTTATAGTTTCTCACAAGAGCAGACCATTTTCATGCAAAGCAAATGTAAGCACAGCTCCTCACGTCTGATGGATTCTTTTGAAGTCCTGAGGTCTTTGGTTGGCGGTGAGTTTGGCCTTGGGTAGAGGAGTTCTACTTGTTTCAGCTTCAGCGGCTTCCCATCAGCCTCCGGGGCAAGGAGTGCAGATGGTTTCCATTTGGCCCCGATTGGAAGCAGGCAGACTGTCTTTATGCTGCTCCTTGTGGGCGGCAGGCCGAGGGCCCGCTGCTCGGACAGACGGACTCACAGCACCGTGTGAATCAAAGCCCCACTCAGAAGCCTGACGCCCTCTAAAAGTCCCCTCCAAGTGCATAATTACAAGAACCTGACAGTGTTACACTTAGCAGCCATTTAAAAGTTACTAGAAGAGGCAAGGGGTTCCATTTCTGTGCTTCTAGAAGGGAAATGTCCGTTTGTCCAAGTCAGTCCCGCCTCAAAGCACCCCGGACGCAGATTGCTCCCCGCGCACCAAGGTCTGAACCAGTAGGTCAGAGGCAAGGCTCGAGAATTTGCTCTCCTCTCAAGTTCCCAAGTGCTCTGACTCTGAAAACCACAATGGCTTTAGCCTTGGGAGAAAACCAGCTTGCCTCTCTATGTCTGTTGCTCAGGGAAGAAAATCAGAGGCACAGGGAAGCTCCGAGGTGCCTTTTCTCTGCCATGGCAGCCATAGAACAAACAGGGCCCAGGCCCATTTCTGTTCTGGCTTCTCTGTCTCTTCCAGACCCCATCTGGCCCACCTCTGAGCCCCATGGCTCTGTACCAGGGCCCTGTGAGAATTAGGGACCCTGAACCTGAGGGTGTCCGCACTCTGGTGAGTGATGTTGGTTTGGCCTATGCCCCGTCACAGGCCCATCAGCCCATAAAGAGCCAGAGATGGAAGTTCACTGCAAGGTCATCAGGAACCACCATCTGCAGATAAGTTATCTTCCCTGAGCCCCATTCAGCCAGGCCCAACCCGTCGCCTCAGGCCCCAAACATTCCTGGAAGACCCTGCATGCCCCATCCTAAGTCAGCTCTGCTTCCCTGCCCAAGCCCACCATAGCTCTTCCCTCCATAGCTCTCAGGGTTGTCTTCGTTCTTGAGGATTTAGGACTGAGCAGCAAAATCCAACCATAACATGGTCAGTCCACAGCCTGGGATTGTCAGACATTTACTGGCCCAAGTGGCCCAAGTGGCCAATTCACTTCCCCCAAAACAAGGCTTACAGCATAGCATCGGCATGCTGACGGCACGAAGGAATTCCAAGGTCAAGTTCCAAAGTCAAGATGTAATCTTCAAAAGAACTTTATTAGTTCCAAACCAGGAAGTTACTGGTCATAACCCTGAAGTGACTTGACTTGGGGTTTTATCCTGGGGTGGTACTGAACGGTGGGGACCTTCATGGGCAGGTTCCAGGGTCTGAGGTGCGAATCAGCCAGCACTAATTACGCTTTACTTCCTTAAGACCTGCAGTCAAGCGAATGCAACTTTCTGTTCTGGTTTATGCATCTCTGGCCATTACACAGGCGGTCACAATGCTTTTTGTTCTTTCAGTGGGGGGTTGGGGAGGGTGGGGGGGTGGAAGCTATTTTTAACAAGCTTTAAAAAAAACAAACAAAAAAAAACTATCTCAAAAAGATGATCCTACCGGGATACCGGGACTTGGCGTCCACAGATGAACATTTGAGGAGTCGTTCAGCAAAACAGTCCGGTGCCCACCAGCAGGTGTGGTGCCCACCTACCCTGGCAGTCCCCGAAGAGGCCAGAGGAGGAAGGACACGCTGAGGAGCCTTCTCTGTGGAGCGTCCGGGTCCATGAAAATTCCTACTTACCCTTTGGATGCCGGTCCACGCAGGAAAAAGAGCTCTCTCTGGGAGGAATGAGGAAAGGTTCGTCAACTGGAAAAGAGAGGGCGTTCCGGGCAAAGGGGCCGCGGGACTCAAGGCCGGCCGTGAAAGTGCCCGGCCTGTGAGGGCTGGGCGTGCGGGAGCAGCGCGGTCACTGGGAGGGAGATGAGGGATGTCGCTGGGAAGGCCGGGCCACCCACGGGGCCAAAGCCACGAGTGCCGATGAGGAGTGAGACTTTCTCCCGGGCGCAGAGGAAGGCCGCAGTGCTTTTGAGGCAAGGCAGTGGCATGAGAATCAGACTCTTGAAAAGAACCTCAGGCAGCTTTGCAAGAATTATATTTTAGGCAGAGGGACAGCGGGACAGTGGGAGATGAGTGTGGAGAGTTTTACGACAGTGCGGGGGAGAGAGGTAGAGTACAGAGCTGAGGCTGCAGAGCTGGACAGACGAGAGTCCCAGTGTATTTAGGAGGAGAGTTGACAACACCTGGCATTGGGTTTTCAGCGAGGGTGGTGAGAAAGACTCTGCAGTCAGGAACACATGGGGGATCTGGGCAGTTCACCAAAGAGGAAGGGGAGGGGGAGGCACAGAGGTGGGAGAGCTCACATTGGATCTATGGGGTGGCTTCCAGGGAAGATGTGCAGTTGTCGGCAGTCTATGTCTGATCCTCAGAAAGCCCGTGGCAAAAGTGGGGGGACACCTTACACATAGAGAGTCTTCACCAGGTTGCCCCCATGCCAGTGTTTCCGTGACTTAAAAAACCTAGAAACGAAACTGGGAAGTGGGGCAGTATTGTTTACGGCACTCTGAGTGCCTCTACGGCTGTCACTCCACCACGCCTCCCAGTCCATCTTCACAGCGCACCCAAGGGATGAGTACTATGATCTCTGTGTTAGCAACGAGGCAGATTAGGTTCAGAGAAGTTTGGCGACTTTCTGGAGAGTTACACAGCATTCTCCAGAGAGATTTTCTTAAAAATATATATTTTATTGCTTTTTCACAGAGAGGGAGAGAGATAGCTAGAAACATCGATGAGAGACAAACATCAATCAGCTGCCTCCTGCACACCCCCTACTGGGGATGTGCTGCAACCAAGGTACATGCCCGGGAATCGAACCCGGGTCCTCTCACTTTGCAGGCTGACGCTCTCTATCCACTGAGCCAAACCAGTTTCGGCCAGAAAGAGATGTCAAACCCGGAGATGCTGCCCATTTTTCTGTGCCTCTTGGCACAATCGGCATGGCTATGCCACTGCCAAGTTCTCCGAGATGGGAATAAATGAAAGTGGTCATTGTTGGTGAGGTTCTTTTTAAAATAAAGACATGTAAGGTTGGGTAAGAATAGGTTGAGGTGCACAGCTGGGGTGGATCGAGTGAGTGTTACCAGGGGCTGAGCATAGACTCACCTTGACTCCAAGGAAGTTGTTTTCCATCCAGAAAAAAAGAAAGAAAAGGAAAAAAAAGGATTTGGTCTGAGCAGCATCAGCCTCCGGCCCTTCTCATAGGGCACGTGACTTGCTGGCCGTCGAAATTCTGGAGAGTAGTTTGAACTAGCATTTTCCAACCTGATAGTTATCATGTTGTTACCTCCCTTGCCACTAGTTGGAGGGAGGTCTGGATTGTTCTTGGGGGGTGAAGGGAGGAGGGATGTGAGTTGTGCCAGGCCAATGGCAGGCCCGGGAGCTCCCTCCCTCCCCAGCGGCACACAGTGGGGCCAGGCCGGCTACACTGGGGATGTGGACTGGCTGTGGCTGCCTCTCTCCTGCACAAGAATGTGGCCTGTGGCCGTGGCCCCATTCACCCCATGTTTTATCGTAACCTTAACTTTTCAGAGACATTTATATTCCTGAAGGGATTGGATGAATAGAAATATCATATTCTCTGTATTTTCATGAATCTCAAGACATTATGAGCTACACTGGACTTGGAAAAACAAGGAACAGTGAGATAGAAGTTTCCACAGTATGATTGCATTCTGTTTCTCTTACTCATGGACTCGCTCATTTAGTCAACAAGCAGTTATCAAACACCTGCACGGTGCCAGATACTATTCTAGCGTGTTAGCACCATTGTATGACTCATGTTTGTCATTCGCTATCGTCCCCATGCCCAGGATGTGAGGACAAATGAAATTTGGACAAATGAGGTGTATCCTCAATAAAACCAAAGGACAGGCTAGTTTTCTCCCTCCGACTGTGTTAGAGGCAAAGAAATCCTGTCACTTCTATTCAATAATCCAGCAGATTAGATTCATATTTAAAGAAACCAATGGAATCTTTTTAAAAAACATACTTAAAATAACTGGCAAAACTAGAATGGCCCAATGTCCCTCTCCCTGACAGGAGTTCTCTTTCCTAATTTGAAAATGTATACTTACTTACCACCAACTCTTCTCTCTTCTCACTAGTTAGCATTCACTTCCTGTCAGCTTCATGAGGGCAGGGAGTTCTGTTTCCTGTTGGGTTCCTGTCGCCTCGAACAGGGCCTGGCACATAATGGGAGCTCACAGATATTGCCTGCTGAATGCACTCAAGTCCAAGACCCCTGTCTAGCCCTGGGGTTATGTTCTCAAATCATAGATTTTTGCACGATAGGCAAACTTAGTGAGCCTATAAAATCCCTTAAATTGCCCCCACAAACCACATGCAGAGATATGATCTCCAAGTCTTCCTGGCATTGGGACAGATTATTGTTTTCCAGTTGAGCCCAGGATGAAGTGGTTGGTAGGGTTTAGAGAGTCCTGTTGCAGACGCAGCATATAACTGCGAGCACTTGGAGCCCCCCCCCCCCCCCCCCCATCCCCTAAAGCAGCCTGCCTTTGGGACTGGAGCCTCAGCCCTGCCCTCTCACACTTCCTGAGCGGATGAGCCACACCGTTTCTCTTCCTCCATCCCCGTCCTGCATTTTTTCTCTGCTAAACTCCTAAACTTGATCTGGCGTTAATTAAACGCATACAAGATGCACTCTACAGCTGGACAGACTGACAAAGGTGGACCAGGCTCCAGGACCACTGGCCTCAGGCATGCAGTCTATGAAGGCAGAATGGTTCTTTTGCCTTTGAACTTGTCCTTCTAGAAAGAAAAAGGAAAAAAGTGACAACTCTATAGGCTCTTTTAAAAGCCTGAACCCCGTATATGGGCCATCACTTCCCCAGGATCAGTGGATAATTCATTCTTCTGTCAAGAAAATCCAGAGACCTTGATTTCTTCTTTAGCAAAAGTAAAGGAAGCAATCTCAGTCTTCAATGAAATGTCCTTCAGGCAATTTGGAGCGTTGTTGTTGTTTTTTAATGAGTTCTTAAATTACTTGTATTTCCTTAACTGTATGACAAAAAAAATGCATCTGCCCACACAAGTGAAATAAGTCTGTATGGTTCTTAAAAACCCGTTGTAAACAGGGGAACTATTGTCTAAAAAATAACACAACACAACTTTTCTCGTAGGAACCAAGAAAAAGATGAAAGGTCTGACGGAGGCTGGGCCTTGGTTAGTGAAATTGTATTTGGCCGATAATGGCATAGATGGAAAAGGGAAAGATGGAGAAAACAGTTTGTTGGAATTCACTCAAATCTTAACATGGTGAGTAGAAAATGGAGAGATTTTACGTGTTCATCTTCCAGAACTAGTGCTTGGGATAAATCATGGGGACAGTTATTTAACTGCACCTTGTTAACCGTGCTGAGTGAGGTTTTTCCTCTCTGGGAGAGAAGCAGGAACCGGTCTTGGTCTTGGGATGAGATCCTAAGGGAAGGCCGACACGCACAGAAATGGCATGGCGGACCGGCATTTTGCTTTCTGCTCAGCCACACTACAGATGACGGCAGAACTGGCTACAGAATTTGTGGGGACCCAACCTGGCTGGCATGGCTCAGGGGTTGAGCTTTGACCTACGAACCAGGGGTCACAGTTTGATTCCCAGTCAGGGCCCATGATTCTCTCTAGTCATTGATATTTCTAGCTCTCTCTCCCTCTCCTTTCCTCTCTGAAATCAATAAAAATATATTAAATTTTTAAAAAAGAGCTAAAACCGGTTTGGCTCAGTGGATAGAGTGTTGGCCTGCAGACTGAAAGGTCCCAGATTCGATTCCGGTCAAGGGCATGTACCTTGGTTGCAGGCACATCCCCAGTAGGGGGTGTGCAGGAGGCAGCCGATTGATGTTTCTCTCATCGATATTTCTAACTCTCTATCTCTCTCCTTTCCTCTCTGTAAAAAATCAATAAAATATATTTTTAATAAATAAATAAAAAAGAATTTGTGGGGGACCCGGTGCAAATGCAAACTCATGAGCCCTCATCTCATATTAAGGATTTTAGGATGAAAATAGCAGAGCTCAGCCGAAACCGGTTTAGCTCAGTGGATAGAGCGTTGGTCTGCGGACTGAAAGGTCCCAGGTTTGATTCCAGTCAAGGGCATGTACCTTGGTTGCGGGCACATCCCCAATGGGGGATGTGCAGGAGGCAGCTGGTCGATGTTTCTCTCTCATCGACGTTTCTAGCTCTCTATCTCTCTCCCTTCCTCTCTGTAAAAAATCCATAAAGTATATATTAAAAAAGAAAAAGAAAAAGAAAATAGCAGAGCTCTGTACTGAGTGAGGAGCACGTCTGAGCATGGGGCCCTGTGCAGCCAACGGCCGGCTCCGTGTGCCGGGCTTGTAGACACCACTAATGCGCGCCAGCGGGCAGTCCCTTCCCCATGCCTTTTTTTAAAAAATATATTTTATTGATTTTTATGGAGAGGAAGGGAGAAGGATAGAGAACTAGAAACATCAACGAGAGTGAAACATGGATTAGCTGCCTCCTGCACACTCCCTACTGGGGATGTGCCCACACCGAGGTACACGCCCTTGTCCGGAATCGAACCTGGGACCCTTGAGTCCTCAGGTCGACGCTCTACCCACTGAGCCAAACCGGTTAGGGCTCCCATGTCCTTTTAATTCTGACACTGAACGCGTCGTAAATCTTTTTGTTCTCCCTTTGAGAGCATCCTCATTGAGGAACACTGGAGATTAAAACACTCGCTTGGCATCTTCGAATCCTACGTCCTGGCTCTCCTCGAGCAGACTGCCTGGTTCCCGCTCCTGCTCCAGCTTCCCCAGCAGAATCATCTCAGGCGCGTCACGTAGCTTCTCCGTACCTGTTTCCTCGTTTGTATAATGAACGGGGATAATGATCGTGCCTAACCCACGAGGGTGTTTTAGGGTTAAATGAGACTGTGTGTGTAGGGTGCTGCATGCAGTGCTCGGGCGCCAGCTGGCACCTTAATACAAACCGGCAAAAAGGGCCCCTCTGGGCAGAGGAGTTAAAAGAGGCACCACCTCTGGCCGGGGAGTCCGAGGCCGTCGCCCCTTCCAGATCTGTGTTTCGGGGCCCAGGACCTGGAGTTCAGCCGCACCCACACCCGTGGAGGGCCCCTTGTGCCAGGCACAGGCGTAGGCGTGTGGGTGACCATGATCACAGCTGATGCAGAGTGAACGCTCTGTAACCACAGCTGCCGGGAGGGAGCTGTGCGGAGTGGTGGCTAAGCCCAGGGCCTCTGATCTCAGACCGAGGTGCAGATCTGTGGAGCTGTCAGGTTTATCGTCAATACTATCCACCCACCTTCTGTGCATCCTGCTTCCTCCCTGAGGCATGCCTGTTCTCTCCCAGCTTGTCGGAAGCAGTTGGACACAGTCAGGCCATTCAGGAATCCAGAGTTGGTCAAGCCCTGATTAGACAGACTGTGTAGTCCTTGGGGGCAAGGCCTTCAAGAGGGAGAGTCTGCGGTTTGGCTCAATGGATAGAGCGTCGGCTTGGGGACTGAAGGATCCCAGGTTCGATTCCAGTCAAGGGCATGTACCTTGGTTGCAGGCATATCCCCAGTAGGGGGTGTGCAAGAGGCAGCTGATCGATGACTCTCTCTCATCGATGTTTCTAACTCTGTATCTCTCTCCCTTCCTCTCTGTACAAAATCAATAAAAATATATTTAAAAAAAAAGAAAAAAAAGAGGGAGAGTCTGGCGGGGTCACTCAGCCCTGGCCTTGGATTCTGGCTGCGGAATCAGCAGGAAGTGTGCACAGGGAGCAGCCTTGTCCTCACTTATTGACCCTAACCAAGATTTCCTATCCCCACCCATGGTAAGAACTCAAAACGGTTTTATCACAGTTTCTTTCAAGAGTGGGGGCCATGTGTGAAATTCCTTGTTACCCTGCAATGCTAGGCACATGAGAATATGCACGTACTAAGTACGCACTCGTTATATAGCATTCTTGCTGTTGCGTTTTGCAAGATGCTTCCATAGGAACGGCTGCACTCTGTGTTCACCACAGCCTCATGACACAGGCAGAAGAACCCTTTCCAGGCGGCTTTAGAGATGAGCACAGTGAGGCCCAGGAGGCACGTGATTGACAAGAGATAGAAGCTGCCCAGGAACCCAGGCCTTCACCCAGATTCCCTGTCCACTCATGATGCCAGAAATTCCCAAAGACAAGTCGGCTCAATAATCCTCAATGAAATTCGAAAAATTCGAAAGACAGGTAGAATGTTCATTTTTCATGAAGCTAAACTTGCTTGATTTTAAAAAGCTATCCCGTAGCCCAGCCGGTGTGGCTCAGTGGATTGAGTGTCAACCCATGCACCAAGAGACCACTGCTTCCATACCCAGTCAGGGCACACACCCGGGTTGCAGGCTCCATCCCCAGTAAGGGGCATGCAAGAGGCAACTGATCTATGTTTCTATCTCTTCCTTTGCCTCTCTCTAAAAATCAATAAAATCATGTTTTTGTTTGTTTTTAAATATTATGGCCTTCCTAATTTCATGTGAAAATGTTTGTTCTTTTATAGTGTTGCTAGGTAAGAGTTGTAATTTATTGGACATAATAAAATTTGCCAAACTGATCTTTGTCGGTCCTCCCAAGTTTTTTGTTTTGTTTGTTTGCTTGTTTGTTTAATATTTTACTGTTGTGTAGAATCTGGGAAGCCCTGACAATACTATCATTATAAATAAATAAATGAATGAATGAATGAATGAATGAATGATTTAAGGCAACCAAAAATCCTTATCCTACCAACTTACTTAGAATAGACATCCAAACTAGAGGTTAAATTGGGGGGGGGGGGGGGGAAGAAATGGATTCAGGAGGTCTGGTTTCAAACTGAGTCAGTGCATTATCTTTGGAACCCGGGGAGGGGGTGGAGGAGAAGGGGGGGGGGGGTGGAGGGGGAAGAGGATCTAAAAAGAAAGATCATACTCCAAAATAACCGAAGTGAGTTTCTCTGAATAACCATGCTTGGAGCAACGCCATTTTGTTTTGTCATTTTCTTTGGTCAGCCTGATCCGATACTCTGCTCACTTAAAGGAACTTGACCTTGGAAACAATGCCCTGGGAGAAATGGCTGCTATTGACATACTTGAAGCGCTGAGAGCCAGAAAGACAGGTAGAGTGTCTTCAGTCTGTGTCCCTGCCTCCTGTCTGCATCCCACTCATCCCCAGCTGCTGTGCTATCCACACCAGCTGGGTGTCCTACAATTCAGCTGCTGACACTATCGCCCTGCAGTCAGCATCAGACTCCACGTGGTGAGGGCTCTGTCCCCCAAGACTGCCCTCCCCTTCAGCAGCCAATTGCAAGACCAGGTTTTCACTTGTGCTTCTGATGGGCTGGTTATAAATCAGGGATTCCCATGACCCCTCACTGGGTTCAGTTAATTTGTTAGAGCCCCTCATAGGACTCAGGAAGCCAGTTTACTCACCGGATTGCCAGTTTATCACAAAAGATATTAAAGGATACAAATCAACAAACAATCATACCTCGGGTGAGATTCCAGACACAGGAGCTCTGTCCTCGTGGAGTTGGGCTGGTTGCTGGCATGTGGAAGCATCCTGGTTCCCATCCTAGAAGCTCTCTGAACTCTATGCTTTTGGGTCCTTACGGAGGCTTTGTTACAGAGATAACGGGGTTAGGAAGTCCAGTTAGAAGGCTACCACAACCATCAGGTGAAATACATAGACAGTGGGAAAAGAGAGGACCAGTGGGAGTTATTACAGAAATAAATTGTCACTGGTTACTCACATCAAGAAGGTATAGGGAAAGGGTATTAAGTATGATGAAAGTTTCCCAGTTAATAAGAATGTGGGAGCCTTAGGCTGGGTGGCTCAGTTGGTTGAGAGTTATCCCATGCATCGGTTGTACAATCCCCAGTGGGGGTATGCAGGAGGCAGCTGATCTCTCTCTCTCTCTCTCTCTCTCTCTCTCTCTCTCTCTCTCTCTCTCATTCTTTCTCTCTAAAATCAATAAAAACATATTATTAAAAAAAATAATGTGGGAGAAGGGCCCTTTCAGAAGCCTGTGACTCAGTCCATCAAATGGAGAGTGTGAGGTACCCTATCCATTTACTACTATGTTCTTCCCCCTCTCAGGTAAACTCCCAGTCTTAAAGGTTACAGTTACCCCTCAGATCTCTTCGGACACCTTCAGATCTATTTGGAAAAGCAGCAATAAATCTAAGGTTACCGGTAAAAGGAAGAAAAAGGTATGCTCTTGGATGTTTGTTCCTGTTAGTTACAGCCACCAGGGGGCGCTGTATAGACCATGCACACTAAACTGGGCAGACTATTACAGCAGATTTTGCACTTGATACTATGGTGAGAATTTTGGTTCTAAGTTAACAGTCCTCTAAGCCATCATTCCATTCTAATGAATGGTTATTGCACACACAAAAAAACCCACTTTTTAAAAAAAATTTATGATTTCTTGTTCATTCTTTTACAGGTTAAACACTGAATGTGGATGCCATGTTACCTTATGGATGCTATTTCCATGGCCAGTGAGACACACATATAAAGATATTGCTTGTTATGTGATAATATTTTTCACTATAACCAATTCTCTTTCAAGTTCTAAAGTTTGATAAGACTGTTGTGTGAAAGTTCAAAGTAGTTTTAATGCTATCATGCTTGTCATTTTCTAAAATTTGCGTTTCACAGTAAGCCTTAGTAAAAAATAAAAAATTAAAAAAAATTAAAAAAAGGTGAGATTCTTCTCTAGGGCTTTTTCTCTTGTACATGCGAAAGTTATAATTTGAAGAAAGTCTTGACTTTTATCTCAGAGTCTTCTTTCATAAATATATCTGTAGTTGGGAACAATAGGAATGTTTGGAAATAATAACCACTTTCTAAAAGATAATATCCCCCAAGCGAGGAAATGTCTAGTCACTCTACCCCCAATTCAGAGCTCAGACGGCTCCAGGGGAAATGGTAGAGGTATGGCTGATCAATGCATAGATGTAAATTAGATTAAGTTGAATTTTATATGACATGATAATGTGGTACAGGAATGAGAAGCACCTTTTTTAGTCGGAATTAAAAAAAAATAGAATTCTCTGTGGAAATCTGTTACTTTTAACATATGACCTTGGGCAAGTCAGTTAACCTGGTGCCTCACTTTCCCCTGAGGTAAGACCGATAAGAATGCTAGCTTTCTCATTTTGTAAGCTTGAGTGAGATGGCACATGCCAAGCATTGTAGGACAATGCCTGTTTCATAGTGCACGCTCAAAAATAAACCAGTGGCTGTTATTAGTGTTGATGTCAGAATTGAGTGACCACGGGCATTTCACTTTGAACAGCTACACAAGAAAAGCAGAATGGACCAAACTGACTTAAAATAAATGTACATTGGGGGGGGGGGGGAAAGAAAAGAAAAGAAAAAAGACGACTTAAGACTGCTCTATTTTGAACTAGAAAAAGAAAAAAGAAAAAAAAAACTTGTTATTTTTCCATGTACAAGTCTAATAAATGCTGGCAAATCCATGGAACCAAACTAATGTGGAGGTGCAGTTGGGCATAATAAATTATGTCCACCTTGAGGCTTGCTAGGAAGACAAGACCTCATGCATTATAAGTAAACAACAATAGAGACCCAGAGCTGAAATAATATAACAAACCTTTCCCATTTATAAATCCAGTGTGTGAAACCTTCTGAGACCTTATTCCTACTTTAAAAAACAACCTCTTTTGAAATGTGCCACTAACATCCATGGGTGGGAGTGTAAAGTCTATGTTCTATCTTTTGGCAATGTCTATCAAGATGAAAAATAGACAGCTTCTGACCCAGGCATTCTATTCCTAGAAATTTGTTTTACAGATATACTCTGACACATGTGCAAGGAAATATATGCAGCACTGTTTATTATACATTAGAAACAATTAAATGTGTCTCAAAGGGTTCTCAGGGCAATAAATCACAGGAAAGTATGTGGTGGGATGCTACATAGCCATTAAAAAGAATAATGTGCCTATATACAAGTGTTTATGTGGACAGATGTCATAGAAGTACTATTAAATAAAATAAAAAAGCGGGCTACAGAGCAGTATATGTAAAAAATTCATATCGAAAACTAATCGAGCCCTAGCTGGTTTGGCTCAGTGGACAGAGTGTCCCTGTGCTAGCAATAGACACCCGACTTCAAAACTGTCACCATTACTTCTCTGGACCTCATTCCTCCTACATAGAAAGGGAGGAGGTTAAGCTAAATTAAAGGTTCACAAAGAGTGGCCCCCAGGGTTCCTGGGAACTTTTCAGAGGTCAAGATCATTTACATAACAATACTCAGAGCTATTTTCTCTCTTCATCTCTCTCTCTCCCTCCCTCCCTCCCTCCCTCCCTCCCTCCCTCCCTCTCTCTCTCTCTCTCTCTCTCTCTCTCTCTCTCTCTCTCTCTCTCTCTCTCTCTCCCCAGTGTTTTCCTGAAGCTACATGATTTGCGAGGTCATTGCTCTTAAGATAATTTGTAATGAGTTTATTGTTGTTATTTTTTAATGAATTAATACATTGCCCTGCTCGATGTGGCTCTGTTGGCTGGAGCATCCATCATCCTGTACACCAGAAAGGTGGTGAGTTTAATTCCTGGTCGGAGCACATACCCAGGTTGTGGATTCCACCCCTGGTCAGGGTGTGTGCAAGAGACAACCAATCTGTTTCTCTCTCATCAATGTTTCTCTCTCTCCCCCTTCCTCTCTTTAAAGTATATATATATATGTATATATGTATGGATGTATGTATATATGTGTGTACATATGTATGTATATGTATATATATTTATTTATTTAATGTTTTTGTTTTAATTTCTTAACATATATTCTCCACAATCAAAAGCCTCTTGAGATCCTAGTAATGTTTGAGTGTAAAAGGCTCCTGAGACAATCATGGCAGCTCAGGAAGGTCATCCAGTCCCTCTGCAAATGACCGGGGCTTCTGCGGCCGGGCGAGTTTAGATCCGGAGGACAGGATGCTGACAGACTGGTCCCTGCCCTTAGGCAGTCTGCACTGGGGTGGGGAAACAAGCGGATGTGTTCACACGGTAATTTCTGAAAGCCGTCCGTCTCACGAAGGCCGAAAGCAGGACAGGCGTTTCCTGCACGAGGTGCCCCGGCCATCGCGACAGAACACGCCCCGGCGCGGCGGCGGACACACTCGACCGGCCCGCGCCCGACCCCGCCCGGTCCTCACCCGCCTGGCCCTCAGGCCTCCAGGCCGCACGGCACGTGACGGGGCGGGGGGCGGGGCCAACGGCGGCCGGGCGCCGGCGTCAGGTGACGTCAAGGCCAGCGCCAGCCAATCGCGGACGGCGCCCGTGGCGGCCGGCTCCGCGGCGGCCGGCGGCCTGCGGGCGGCGCTGTGGTCCGCCGGGCGGCCTCGCGGAGCCGCCATAACCGCCGGCCTTCCCCGAGCCAACGTCTCCGCGCCGCCGCCATGGCCGACGTGGAAGACGGCGACGAGCCCTGCGCCCTGTCCTCTCACTCCGGGGGCGCGGGCTCCAAGTCGGGAGGCGACAAGATGTTCTCCCTCAAGAAGTGGAACGCCGTGGCCATGTGGAGCTGGGACGTGGAGTGCGATACGTGCGCCATCTGCAGGGTCCAGGTGATGGGTAAGCGCTGCACGCGAGGCCGGGGCCGCGCTGCGGCCTCCGCGGGGCCGGCTCCGGGGGCTGGGGGGCTGAGGCCCGGAGAGCCCGCTGCCCGGTGGGGGGCTGTGGCCGCCGCCCGCCCGGGCCGCGGGGCCCCAGCGACCGGGGCCGGGTTCTGGCGAGGGGAACGGGCAGCGGGTGGAGGGAGGAAGGTCACCTCGGGGAGCGATGGGTGTGGCCGAGGACATACATCTGTGTGGTTTGTCCGGAGCTGGGAGGAACCGACTCGGTTATTAGGGCGCCAGGCCCCAGCCCCGACCCTGAATAGCGGTCCGCCGAGGCCCCGGGGCCGCACAGCACGTCACCGGTTCGGGTCACACCCCCGAGTGATGCTCCGGTCCATCGTCCACCGCCGAACACGACGCCCTCCGTCCGCCCCTGAGAGCGGGGCTCCTGCGGGGAAGGAGAGGGGCCCGGCCGCGGCGCCGGCGGGCCCGCTGCAGCCGCCCCGGCTGCCCAGTCCGGAGGGCCCGGCTGCAGAGGGAGCCCAGGGTGGTGGTCGGATTATATTTTTTCCGTTTTGCGGGAATGGAGTAACGTGAAGCTCTGGACTTAGAGGCATACAGAACTTAATCTTCTCGCCGGCCAGCCCTTCCTGTCGTAGAGATGCCCCTTTCCTGGAAGAGACTGCCCCCTGCTCGGAGCCAGGCCTCTGTGTGTGGATGGAGAACCCGCTTTTACACATAAGTTTGCCTTCCTCCTAGGGTGCTGTGAAGGAAAAATATTGGCCCGAGTGAAGCCTCTCTCATAACAACCTCACCCCGAGTGGCTGTGAGTGGTTTCTGTTTCTAAGATCTCAGGCCACCTTGGAAAAGAGGTGCTGTTGAATGCAAGTTACATGTTTAAATAGAGCATTGGAAACTAAGCTGAGAGCTTCTTGACGTGTTGTTGCTTGAGGGTGGGTGAGGGGAATGGAGGTTTCTATCATTTTTAAAACTTGGTGTCTTGCCCTGAAAAATGAGAGAATTGGAGAAAACAAAAGAGAATTGCTCTCCCTTCTTGCGAGATGAAAACGTCTAGCAGCATCAAGAGATTTCTCAGTGTACACGCTCTTTAGTGTGCCCTCTAGTCTTCTATGGATAAGAACTTGTTTTAGAGGATTTAAAACAGTGGGATCCAAATATTTTTTTTATGTTTTACTTTCGAAAGAGCTTGATTTCAGACATGATCCACTTATTTTGCATATTTAGGTTTGGAAGTACCTCGTTTATTGGCCTGCAGTCCAGCCCCCTTACTCACAACTTAACGCCTTAAGAACTAGAATCAGATTTTCCACTTTGGGTGGCATTTTTAACTTACATAGGTGACTTCAATTTTTGATCTTTAACAAGAGGGGCTTTGCTGAAAATATTGTCACCTAAATTTTCTTTAGTTTAAAAAGAAGAGTGTTCCTAAAAAGGCATTTTATCCTCCCCAAAGAAAAAAAATTCAACCAGGAAGTGGAAGTATGGGATTAAAGTACTGGTTGGTATCTTGCAACAAATAAACTGTATGTGTGATATTTAAGTCAAAGTATGGGCTGTAAATGGTTCCCCTTCTCATTGACTGTCTAATTATAGCAAGTATTCTGCTACTGTGGATTAACGTTGCCGATTACAACAGCTATACTTTGAGTTCAGGAGAGTGTTCTGGACTAGACCTTTGTATTTTGTTTACGAGGTGTTAAAATCCACTTAGAGGTCAACTTGACAGCAGGAGGAAGTTTGTTTTTCAGACTTCCCAGTCCTTCCCCTGGCACCATTCTAAAAGGTGTAAGTGTTATTGTACTGCTTAGAAATGTGCTGTTTCAGATATTAGCAACATCATCAAGAGAAACTTTAAAATCTGAAACTGGGGGAATTTTTATCTACTTCCGTCGGTTTAGGGGTGTCGAACTCAATCAGAGAAGGGGCCAAAATCTAAAAATCCAGCCTAAATCGCGGGCCGAATGGTTTACTGAACAGTCATAAACTGTCATTGTGATGGAAACGCAGCGAGTGCAGTGATGACAGCGCGGTGCGGGCCACATTGCAAGGCCTGGCGGGACGGATTTGGCCCGCGGGCCTTGTGTTTGACACATGTGATCTAAATCAAAACTATAATGTAATTCAAACTTCTAGATCCTACAAAAAGAGCCCACTTAATTTTTAATTAATATTTCCTTAATATTTGGAATTCATCTCATACACAACTGATTTATTATGACTTCTTTATCCAAGATTTGCCTGTCAGCCTATTCGGATGTGGTTAACACCGTGTCCACGCTGCTGAGGAAGAGGGGAATACTTTAGCTTGTACTGCCAACTTATAAGAGCCAGAGTAACCTTCATGGCTGTGTTACCTTGGACAGTTGACAGCCTTTTGGGCCTTCTTTTCCTCATTTGTGAGAGGCAGCTGGGATCACACACTCTAATTCTGTGATTGCACAGAACAAGAGCCTCCTCTTCACCATTACATCAGGATCCTTAAGATACTTTGTTGTTTGCCTGTCTGTCTCCCTATTTGCTGTGGAGACCAGGAATCCAGACTTAGTCCTCTCCATGTCCCCTGTGCATATAACTCTTTGTGCAGAGTAGATACTTAGTAATTGTGGAGTTGAAGAAGGTTTTAGGCGGCAATGTTGTTTTTAGTCCACATGGCAGAGGCCAGGGTGGTGTGTTTTTTTAGGGTAAAAGCACGCAGAGAGAAGCAAACAAGGGCCTGTGTATAACCAGTGTAAGAAGAACAGGCTTCGGCTCCACCGTGTGTCTATTTTTACTGAATTATTTTTTTTCCAGTTAAAACTTTTTTTTCTGTTGGTTTGAACTTCCTTTACCCAACTTTGACTCCTCTTCCAGCTAGTGAATGAATTCATTTAATTGGTCCCTAAAATAATCTATTTTACCTCCTTCACCAAAAATATATATTTTCTGTATTGCCTTCTTCATCAAGCAACCTAGTTTACTTAAGCTTCCCATTCCTGGTATTTACTCCTAAGTAATATATTAAAATACTTTGCCATTGTTGGGCTCAGACTTAGTTTGTAAAGGAAGCATTTTATTAGAAGAAGAACAACTCCTAGTTTTTAGAAAGCATTTTTAGTTAATTTTAATGTTTAAATAGATTATATAATCACATAATTCAAAAATTTAAGGCAGTATACAATAAAATTCCTTCCCACTCAGTCCCCTCCAATAAACTCTATTATTAGTTTCTTGGGTATCCTTCTAAAGTTTCTTTATGTATGTATAAGCAAATGCCAATATATGTGCATGGCTCATTTATTTTTAAAATTTTATTCAATTATACTTCACATTCAGTATGACATTTTGTACAGCAGCAAAGTGGTTAGATAACAGTATACTTTCCAAAGTGTTTCCCCCAATATTTCCAGTACCCACCTGGCACCATACATAGTTATTATAGTATTGGCCATTCCCTATGCTATAGTTTATATCCCCATGTGCATAGTTTATTTAAAAGGGTGTCTGGAAAATAAGCTACCCCTAACATTGAGCTATATGAGCATGCCCAGTGAGCTTATAACAACTTCTAATACAGTGGAGTGTTCTCTAGTGGTTGCATCCACTGGCAGGGCATCTTTTCATCAGAGCTTGTAAAAAAAGAGGGTTTAGTAACCCTGGGAAAATTGCTCCTGGTCAGAAGTAGATTAGTCCAGTGCCTTCTACTTTATTCCTGTTTAAACAGTTTTGTTCAGATGAGAAATTAATAGAATGAACCTTTCATCTCCATCTCTAACCCTTTGGGCTTTTATTTGACTTTGAAGTGTCTGGTTTTTAAAAATTGCATTCTGAGCATCAGAATGAGAATTGCTGTTTGTTTACTTTCAGATGCCTGTCTTAGATGTCAAGCTGAAAACAAACAAGAGGATTGTGTTGGTATGTTGTAATTTCATTCTCATGCTTTTTCAACTGAAGGTTTTCTCTCAGTGGGAATGTTTGAATTTGCTATTAAGATTGACTTTACCAATACACAAAAATAAACTGTAAAGCAGTGATCCATTATTAATATAAAATGTGTTGGTTCTCAAAGGGCCTTAAGAATTCATCTGCAAGGTGTTTTCTTATTGCCTGTAATTAAGAAGAATTAGTTATATAAGTATTCCAGATATGGGCATAGTAAATACTTTGATAATCAAAAAAATGAATAATCCTCTTTTGTTAAGAAAATTATATAAGAAGGAGTTTGCCAAAGCATCATTAAAATTTTGAATATGTTATAGGTCAGTTTTGGTAGCGTTTCATTCTATTAAAGCATTTCAGTTTTCAGTACTCTTAAGATATAGTGTTTAACTGATAGAGAAAAATTGTCTTTTTTTAGAAATATAGCCAAAGCCGGTTTAGCTCAGTGGAAGAGCGTCGGTCTGCGGACTGAAAGGTCCCAGGTTCGATTCCGGTCAAGGGCATGTACTTTGGTTGTGGGCACATCCCCAGTAGGGGGTGTGCAAGAGGCAGCTGGTCGATGTTTCTCTCACATCGACGTTTCTAGCTCTCTATCTCTCTCCCTTTCTCTCTGTTAAAAATCAATAAAATATATAAAAAATAAAAATAAATAAAAAATAATCATATATATATAAAGTTTTCCTTATAGTCTGGGGCTACAAAAGTTGTCTTGACTAAATGTTGTAAACAGTTCAAAGGTTTATATGTTCCAGTTCTTGAAATCGTCACTTCTAGATTGCTTTATATAAGTGTTTAAACATTTTTCCTAGATGAAAAGTTAACTTTGCACTTTGTGCTGGTGTGGTTTATAGGATATGTTTTTATTGATTTTTTTAGAGAGGGATGGAGGGAGAGAAATAGAAACATCAATGTAAGAAAGAAATATCATTACCTCCCATATACCAGGAATTGAACCTGATACCTAGATATGTGCCCTGACCAGGAATTGAACCCAAAATCTTTTGGTATACAGGACGATGCTCCCAACTGAGCCCCCTGGCCAGGGCTATATATAGCTTCTAATTAATGATCTATGCCATTTTGATCTAACCCTGTTTCTTCCCTCTGAATCACTAGAATGATTCTTGCTTTCTACCTTCTGCAGCCTATTTTCATAAGAAGCTTTTTTTTTTCTTTTTTATTCCTGTGTCTTAATTGTTCTGTTATAGCTCAGATGGTTAAGCAAGGGACAGATGAAGCTCACATTTGAGATTGTAGTCCAGATTGTGGGTGATTTCCCTTGGTTTAAAATTTTTTTTTCATGCTGTTTGTTAAAAAACAACACATTAATTTGGTAATTGTGAGTTATAAGTTATCTTTCTTTGATCACAAAGAGACCTCTCTTTCCAGCCAGCCACTTTGAAAATTTAATTGTCACATAAGGAATTGCACTGCTTATTGATGACAACACAATTACCAGCATTTCTAGGAAACAACTCAGCAGATGCACAGCTGATAATAATTAGAAGCATGTCATCTATTCATAATAGCCTACTTATGAACTTGAAAACATTTAAAACTCATATCTTAATAAATAAAAACCAGGAGGATGTTTTTCAGTAAAATAAAGCCCAAAACATCTCCAAAGTCATGAACTCAGGTCTGGGCTCTAAGGAAGACTCAGGTCCTTTAATCTCCTAACTTCAGGAGGACAGCTGTACAGTAAGGAGCTGTGCAGGAACTGGGGCCACCACATCATTCACAGATTCTAGAGCTGTGGTGGGACTCCCCTATGCACAAACCTTTCTTTACAGGTAGAAAAAATTATTTTGACCAATTTATCATCTCTGTTTGAGATTATGAACAATGTTTATTATTCATAATATAAAATAAGCTGTATATTTGAGCTTGGTCATTTAAATTGAAATGTCTAATGTCAAATAATCTTTTCTTTTCCCTCTTAGTGGTCTGGGGAGAATGTAATCATTCCTTCCACAACTGCTGCATGTCCCTGTGGGTGAAACAGAACAATCGCTGCCCTCTCTGCCAGCAGGACTGGGTGGTCCAAAGAATCGGCAAGTGAGAGTGGTGAAAGGGCTTCTTAGTGCGTTTGTCCAGAGCCCTGGGGCATCGCCTTATCAAGTGCCCTACAATGGCCAGGATACTCCGAGGACCAAGTCTTCAAATAGGAGATGGGTCTTTGGTCCTTGAGGACTCACCAGAGGCATTGGGTTAGCATTTTTCAGTTTTATTTTCAGAAGTTCTCTACAATTAAGAAGATAATTTATTAAAGATGGTCTTTCCTATCTCTGTGGTATGTGTCACACTGCTCAGAAGTGCTATAAAGGAAGAGAGAACTACACATTGAATGACCTTTATAATTTACTTAATGATATCTAAGGGGCTGTGGAAGCAGTTGCATTTGGAAGAGAACTTTTGCATGCTTAAGATAGCTCAGTTAAAAAACAAACAAAAAACAATGTTATAGTAACAAATAAAATGCAGTTTAAAACCCAACTCTTATCCTTAATTTGTTCCTGATATTTATTTTAGACAGGAAAGGGGGGTGATTAATTATATTATTTGATATGACAATTTTAAGTTTGCACCAGAGAGCAGGGTAAATAAGATTTCATCTTTGGACATAGGGGATTTTGCTTGTCTTTTAGGTTATGGTCCTCTATCATTGACTCATCAAAAAAACCTATATCTGCACACCTCACTGTTCAGTCATTCAGGGGAAAGAACAGGGGCATTTCCCAAGTTTTAATTAGTTTATGGTATAATTTAACTGTGTTTCAGGTGAACTGTTAATAAGGGAAATGTTTACCACTATAGCCTCGGATCAAAAAAGGTTTATTTTATTACACAGTGCTTTAATAAACAGTTTATTCTGTTTACTTCATTTAAATTGTCATTATTGCAGTTTTATGCACAACCTTAAACTTGATATTAATAAACTGATTTGTCAAGTGAATGCTTTTGTTAGAAAAAAATATTTATATGCTCTTTCATCTATATATATAAAAGCCTAAGCACCTGTTACAACTGGAACGACCAACCAGTCGCTATGACATGCTCAATGCAGGAGTTGCCCCTTGGTCAGTGCACTCCCACAGCCAACCTCCTGCAGTCCCTTCCCCCAGCCAGCCAGCTCGACCTATAGGCCCTAATCAGGGTGGCTGTCTGGCCAACCTCCCGGGGTCCTTCCCCTGGCCAACCAGCCCCCCAATAGGCCTCGATCACTGGCCAGGCCAAGGGACCCACCCATGCATGAATTCTGGACCTCTAGTTGGTAATAAGAAAATTTTAAGTTTATTACCTAGAAATATAAAATTGTAAGAAAATAAAATCTTATCCCATTCATTCACATTTAGTGGAAGTTAATTTATAACAATTTATGAATCTTTACATCTAAGGAATATACATACATAAGATATGAAAATCTATATACCGTATTTTCCGCGTATAAGACGACCCCCTAATTTTACAGTTAAAACATAGGTTTAGCCAGGGGTCCTCAAACTTTTTAAAGTGGGGGCCAGATCACGGTCCCTCAGAGAGCTGGAGGGCCGGACTATATGAACTACTAATTCCTACTGTAACACCTCGGCTGCGCTCACTGCCCAAAAAACCTGGTGGGCCGGATCAGACTCCTCTGTGGGCCGCATGTGGCCCACGGGCCGTAGTTTGAAGACGCCTGGTTTAGGCCTATATTCGCTGTATAAGACTACCCCCCACTTCTGAGGCAACACCAGTTCTTTTTTTAATAGACCGCCTCTCTGACTCTGGCCAATCTGAGCAGGCTTTTTATGCATGCAAATTATACATGTTCTATACCCGAAGCTACACTGTGTTCTAATAAAAAGCCTGCTCAGATTGGCCAGAGTCAGAGAGGCGGTCTTAAAAAAAGAACTGGTGTTGCCTCGGAAGTGGGGGGTAGTCTTATACAGTGAATATAGGCCTAAACCTATGTTTTAATTGTAAAATTAGTGGGTCGTCTTATACGCCAGAAAATACGGTATATAAAAGCTTAAGTGACCAAACAACTGATCAACTGGTTGCTATGATGTGTATTGACCACCAGGGGGCAGAAACTCAGTGAAGGAGCTGCCCCCTGGGGGTCATTGTGCTCCCACAGCCAGAGTACCACTTGCTGACCAACTGACGCAAGCCTCTCCTGCCTCTGCAGCAGCACTACGGAGTGGCAGCAGCGGTGGCAGGCACAGCGGGGTCGGGATGAACAGGAGCACTGTGGTGCCTGGCCTGGGCTCTGGTTCATCCCCGGCCTTTGGCCTCATCCCGCGGGCTCCTTTGCCTGCAGGGATCTGGCCAAAACCAGCAGTCTGACATCTCCCAACAGGTTCCATATCGCAAGAGGGCACAGGCCAGGCTGAGGGACCCCCCCCCCCAGTGCAGGAATTCATGCTTGGGCCTCATAATAAGTAAAATTCTGTATGCATTCACATTGGCTACTACTAATCAGATTTCTCTGGAAATTTTTGCTTATATATTTTCACAACTGTCCACTGAAAAATTACAATATCCTCTATAATAAACGTAATATGTTAAGTGTCTGACCGATCTGTCGACCAGTCAACTGCTCCAACCAGTAGATAAGCTTGCTGCTGGGGTCTGGTGGATTGAGACTGGGTGAGAGAGCCAGACACACCCTGGAGCCCTCTCACGGTCCCTCCCCGGCTAGCCAGCCAGCTCCCATCACCCTAATCAGGAGTGGGCTAGACGGCCCCGATCACTGGCCAGCCCAAGGGACCCCACCCGTGCACGAATTCGTGAACCAGGCCTCTAGCATAAATATGTTTGACTATTTGAATGTGTTTGTCATGGGCAGTGAACTATTTTAGCGGCTTTTGGACCTTTTTAAAAAGTTGTATCTATAAAAAGTGAACCAAATATTTGGCTTTGAAGTAAAGAGAAATACTAAAATTGTTGAGTTATTTTAGTGTGACAGTATGTAAATAAATGAAATGAGGATGGTGGTGGTAAATTAATTTTCCATAGCAAAACTGCCCGTCCGCCACCTAACAAAGCTTTGTTTCTATTACACATCATCCTCTGAGGATAGAAAAGGAGGAGGGACTGGACAAGCAGCACTCATGCTACCCGCCCTGGAATGGTGTCAGCTCATCGGCATAGCCATCAGAAAGTTGCAGCCAAAAGACCAAGCTGTGACATCTAATTAAGACATCCAGCGCAGAAGCTAAGCATTGAACAGGTTTTCTTTCCTTGTGGTTAAACAGTGTTGAATTTTATTTTACTAGTGTATTGGGAACATTTGTCGTCTTTAGCTATTTAATTTCCCACCTGTGCAAGTTGCCTTCTATTATGGCTGGCATCTGCGTTGGTAAATTGACCCTATCAAGCCCATTACTTCCTTTTTATAAAAAGTGTCCCCTTTACTATCCTGAAGTGACATTAAAATGTATATAATAACTTCATTGTACATAGAAATAAGAGGAAATTATAATTTATATTCAGTATGTAAATGCTTGGGTATAATTACATCTGAACACTGTAAGTGATCATTCCATATAGACTAGGGGTGTCGAACTCAATCAGAGAAGGGGCCAAAATCTAAAATCCAGCCTAAATCGCGGGCTGAATGGTTTACTGAACAGTCATAAACTGTCATTGTGATGGAAACGCAGCGGAGTGCAGTGATGACAGCGCGGTGCGGGCCACATTGCAAGGCCTGGCGGGACGGATTTGGCCTGTGGGCCTTGTGTTTGACACATGTGATATAGACTGTTGTGATTCAGAAACACAAACATTTCTATTGGTGATAAGATTTTTCCCCCTAATTTGGTGGATCGTACATGGTAAGGTAAAGTTCTGAACAAATGTACAATCTTGGTTCACATGTTAGTTGCATGTTTGGCAACAATGAATTTTAAAGCTATGCAAAATACTTAATACTGTATTAAAAAAATTAAGTTCTAGGTTCAGATCATCATAAACTGATTTTTCTACTATTAATACGTGAATGGGCATTGAAAAGTCACATGGTATGCTGAATTATGTTTCTTCATGTGAGATTGTCCCACATGTTGTAAGACTTTGAACTTCTCTAGTCCCCACCCACCAAATGCCAGGGGTGCCATCAATCATTGTTCCCAAAACATTCCCTTTAGAAATTGTATTGGCTTATTTGGGAGTGTCTGTAACAAGCACTGTTATAAGTGCTTGTACAGGCAATTAGTTTATATACTTCAGACATCTGAAAAGAAAGGTTACTATTTGTTAAATGCTTTGTTGCTTTTTAAGTTACTGCCAAGGACTGACTTCAGGTAATGCTCTGAAAAGAAAATTAGAAAATTTTCAAGTTTAGTAAACCCTTATTAAAAAAAAATATTTAAAGGAAAAATATTACTGATTGGCTATAAGGAAAATTAGAATTAAAGTTCAAATGGTTTTAAATTTTTGAGCTGCTTTATATTGAGCATGTGATACATGAGAAGTACTTGCATGGAAGTTCCTACTCTGCCTGCCATTTTTACATCATTCCACTTCTGTTAGGTTTTATTCAATGAAGTACATCTTACAGAAAAAGTATCTTCTCTGCATGTTAGTCTAGTCTGCCAAAATACCTGGACTTGAATCCTAGTGCTACCATTTATTTGTGTGACTGTGAGCAAGTTATTTTACCTCTCCATACCTGAGTTTCCTCATGTACAATATCTACCAGATCATTTTGAGCACTGAAAATGGTTTATTAATACCCACGTAAAACTGAGAATGATTCCCAGTACATGGTAAGTGCTATTGTTATTTTATTCGTTTTTGGAAGTTCCTTTAATAGAATTGGCACTTTGAAAGGCAGCTATGCTCACCACTACCACCAACGCAGACAGAATTGGCACTTTGAAAATAATGTTCTTAATTACGGGCTAAAGCACTCCTAACTGTTCTTAATAAGGATTTTGTAAGAAGTTAATTGTAAACATGTTAGATTACTTGTAGCACTGAGCATCAGTGAAGGATGGTAATGAGGCTCTATTAACAACAACAAGAAAGAAATCGTTGCTTTTTTTAATTGTCCTGAGAAATTTAAACTGTTTGGGAAGATATAGTAAATCTAATGCTCTTACCTAGCTATCTTATTTTGGCCAGTGCTGTCTCAACATCTGCACAATATTCAGATTCTATTTTTTTTTTAAAATATATTTTATTGATTTTTTACAGAGAGGAAGGGAGAAGGATAGAGAGGAAGGGAGAAACGTCGATGAGAGAGAAACATTGACCAGCTGCCTCTTGCACACCCCCTACTGGGCATGTGCCCGCAACTCAGATACATGCCTTGACCAGAATCGAACCCAGGACCCTTCAGTCCGCAGACCGACGCTCTACCACTGAGCCAAACCGGTTTCGGCTTAAAATATATTTTTATTGATTTCAGAAAGGAAGGAAGAGGGAGAGAGAGAAACTTAAATGATGAGAGAGAATTTGATTGGCTGCCTCCTACCCCTAATAGGAATCGAGCCTACAACCCAGGCATGTGCCCTGACCTGGAATCAAGCTGCAATCTCCTGGTTCATAGGTCAATGCTCAACCACTGAGCCAAGCAGCCGGGTTCAGCTTCTATAAAGGAATATGGTCTGTCAACAGAATATTGCCTGATATGGCCATATTCTCAACAATAGTTTAAAGAGCTGATATTGGGCAACAGAATTGAAAAGACAGGTCACAAAAGAAGGCATACAAATAGGCAGTTAGTACATGAAAAGGTGCCTAACATTCCTCATCAGAAAAAGTCACTATGAAATACCTTTACACACTCCTTAGACTAGCTCAAGTTAAAAAGACTGATAACACCAAGTCTTGGTGAAGATCGGGAGGACCTGGAATTCTCTTAGGCTGTTGGTGGGAATGAAAAATGGAACAGACACTCTGGCAAACAGTAAGACAGTAAAAAGTTAAATATACATCTACCCTAAAACCCAACAATTCTATTCCTAGGTATTTGCCTAAGAGGAAAGAAAACATGAATCAAGAAAACAGACAAATATTCAAAACTGCTTTTTATCATGTTTGTAATAGCCCCAAACTGGAAACAGCCCAAGTGTCTGTCAACAGAAGAATAGTGGTATATTCATAGAATTAAATACTACTCAGCAGTAAAGTTTTTTTTAAAAAGAACAAACTACTGAAACATGCTACAAAACAGATGCATCTCAAAACATGTTGAGCAAAAGAATGCAGGCATAAAAGAGTGCTTAACAGTAGGATTTTGTTTATATAAAACTCAAGAATAGGCAAAAGGAATCGCTAGCGATGGAAGAATGGTTGCCTTCTGGTGAGAGCATGGAAGAGGGCACAAGCTTTTATCGGGGATAGAGATGTTCTATCCATTGATTTGGGTGATAGTTACATGAGTATGTTTGTCAAAACTCACCCAACTATACACTTAAGACCTCTACAGTTTAAGTAAAATAAATCTGAGGAGTTTTTTGTTTTCTTTTTTTAAGAAATGGATTTTATCATTTAAGACCACAACCAACACTAATTTACATTTACTACTAAGTGGGAAATGCAAGAAGATGCATTAATGATTTATTAATGGTTGTTCCATTTGTCTTATTGTTCAACTCTTCACGAAAGCACTCAAATCAAAATAATTGTGTTTCTCATATTGTTCTGGTCCCCTGGAGAGGTCATCTGAGAAAGCTCCTTGGAGTTCATTAGGAATGCTACATTTTCAAGAAGTTTATCAAAATGTAGAAGAAATAAGTAACAGAAGAGGTGACTTTTTAAAAGGAAAATTTTATTCATTCCAACTCTTCTAGAACATTTTCCAGGGTTTTAAATGTACAAGGCAAACAATTTAGTCTGGCCTGAAATTCCTCTCTGAACTCTCGTAACTTTTCTAACGAGGCGTTTAAATCTTAAGGATAAAAGATACGGAGTGGGGTCTTTCCCATACGTTACACTTCACAGCCCTGAGGCTGTAGTGTGGGGTTTTCTGTCGGACAGATGGCCCACAACTGAGATCTTGTAGTACATACAGACAGCGAATAAAACTCAGGAGTGCTGAAGTCCTCCCAACCACAGCTCTGCTGCTGGGTGCTCAGATGGGTGTAAAGTAAAAGGAGTCCCCACCCAGCCCTCAAACCACCATCTAACCACGAAAACGCCTCAGTCCCCCCGGCTCAGCGCAGGCTTTAAATGTCATTTATCTGCTGGGTGACTCCCAACGAGGATCCCCACAACCTGCGCTTCCAGAGGCTGGCCGGCTGAGATGTGGAAAGTCATCCTTCCAGGGATGCGGACCCAGAGCTTGGACTCAACCTTATCCTCTTTCTTTCTGCCACATCCCATGTTCAACTCCTTTGCAAACCCCCCCCCCTCCCCCCCCAGACCTAGACTCCAAATGGGTTTCTCTAGTTTTAGCCTTACCCCCTTCAGTCTAGGAACCTGTTAACATTGTAGCAGAAGCTTCCAGTGGCGCCTCAGCTCTCCCAGCTGAGCCAGGAACGCAGGCACGTGAGTCAGATGGGCAAGGAGCTGCACAATCAAAGCTCAGAATTATGGGAAATAATAAATCATTATTTTAGGTTTTGAAGTTTTGGGGTGGTTTATAATACCACAATTTGATACATTACGTATTTTGTTTATTGACAGTCTCATCCACTAAAATGTCATCTTCATAAAGACACGGATTTTTATCTGTTTTTATTGTTGCACACCCTGTGCCTAGAACAGTGCCTGATATCTCCCCCCCCCCTTCTCTCTCCCCTTCCCCTCTCCCCTCTCCCCTCTCTCCTCTCTTCTCTCTCCTCTCTCCTCTCTTCTTTGTGGGATGAATGAATAGACTGAATAGACAAATGAAATCCATGCCAGGAGAACTGTGTTGATTTTACTACTCAATTCTAGCTTTAATAATTCCCTTTTATACATCAAGTTCATTACTTGCATTGAATGATATTTAAATCTTACCAACTGAATCTGGTTTTCTCTAGCAAAACACATGTCAGAGTCAACCTTCTATTATGTTCCCTCCTAGGTAGAGAAATAAGGCTTTCATCTCATTTGCTATTACCAAGTGACCCTCATGTTACTACTGTTTATTAAACTTGATGCTGTTTATATACTTTCAAGTATTTTTTAACATAACTCCCCTCACCCCACTAGTGGACATTTAGCTGTGGTCTAATGCTTAATTTGTTCACTTTTCCTTATAATTCCCTTATTCTCTCAACTCTCAATTATTCTTTTCTTCACTGAATATGAAAAAAGAAAGTTTCAGAAGCAGACTTACCAAAATTTGTAGCAAACACTGAATACTTCTCCATTCCAGAATAGCCTTCTGTGTTCCAATGAAAATAACTTTGACTTTCATCCCCCTTTTTTTTTTTATTATAACCACAAGAAGTTTTACTACTCGTTCCCACATTTTCAAAGGGTATGCTTCGTGGACTTTATTTTGCTTTTTGTTGTTGTTGCTGTGGTTGTTAGCACTGCATTGTTTGGTCTTCTCTACTAATCTTGTAGACTTCTTTAATGAAATCTACTTTACAGAGAGCCGTTTTAATAGATTTTTTAAGTCTCACTGTGTGGACACACTTTCTTTTGTACTTCTGCCATAATACATTTGCAAATTGAACTTCTAGTCAGGAAGTGTTTTCTGTTTTCTTCAAATATACCAATTACTTAACTTTCTCAGCTACTATGGCTCCTTGTTGAAGAAGAATATCCTTTGTTATGGGTATGTAGTCATTATTAAAACAGTTAGCGTCCTGTTTAAAGAGGAAGATGTTGAAACCGGTTTGGCTCAATGGATAGAGTGTCGGCTTGGGGACTGAAAGGTCCCGGGTTCTATTCTGGTCAAGGGCATGTACCTTGGTTTCGGGCATATCCCCAGTAGGGGGTGTGCAAGAGGCAGCTGATTGATGACTCTCTCTCATCGATGTTTCTAACTCTCTATCCCTCTCCCTTCCTTTCTGTACAAAATCAATAAAGTATATATTTTTTTTAAAAAGCAATAAAATATATTAAAAAATAATTTTTAAAAAATCCAAAAAATAAAAAATAAAAAAATAAAATAAATAAAGAGGAAGATGTTTATGTTATGCCAGATTATGAATCCTAAGGTTCAATATTTATGAATTTAATTTATGATAAAAGCAAGAAATTTTGTACAGGTCTGTGGATTCTATGGTCCCAGTTAAAGCATTTGCAACTTCTTCTATGTTATGTAACTCAAAGCAAAATTTTTCCCTGTGTATCCTTGGTATGGCTTTTAAGGAAGGTCAGAATTCCTGTTGATGCAATCATTTTTCCTTTGAATACTTGGCAATTGTTTTAGTAGCCATTAAAATAGGGCTGAACTAAATGGGTAGTGTTATAACCATGGTTAGAAAATTTGCCATTTTGATAGTAAACTAAGCACAAGAATAATTTCCAAAGCCAATCCCAGCTTCTTCCAATCCAGATGGGACTCTCTTGACCCCACAGCTTTTCTGTGCCACAGGGGCAGTCCCCGGTGAGAAACACCCTTCACTGAAGAGGGGGACCCCAAGTTCCTAGTCCAAACCTGGCACTTCTTTTTTTTTTGGTATCAATTTTCTTATGTTCAGTAAGAACTTAGACTGGTCAACACTAACGTTACGTATGTTGTATTTAACTCTGTCTATGATTGTTGGATAATGTTTGAAGTAAATAAGAACATGCTTGGCTTGGCCTGTGTGGCTCAGTAGTTGAGTGTTGACCCATGAACCAAGAGGTCACAGGTTCGATTCCAGGTCAGGGCACATGACCCAGTTGTAGGCTCAATCCCAGTAGGGGGTGTGCAGAAGGTAGCCGATCAATGATTCTCTCTCATCTTTGATGTTTCTATGTCTCCCTCTCCTTGGCCCTCTCTGAAATCAATAAAAAAACATATTTAAGTAAATAAATAAAAGTCAAAGCTTTAAAAAAAGAAAAAAAGAAAATGTTTGGCAGACTAATATTACTAGATTTACTCTTTAAAAGATCATCTCTGTCGAAGATGGGTTTGAGCTAAAGAAAGAGTAGGGGCAGAGAACATACTTATAATAATTAAAAACGTGCTGGCTACCGTCTTCTCTACAGCATGCCTGTCTCATCTTTAGTTGAAAACAGGAAATCTGTAAAGTTCCTGGAAAATATTTCCATTCCTAATATGAAAGCTCCTTTTACTGAAGGATTTTAAGGAAAATGCTTGATTTAAACAGACACTTCCTGGCAGCTAGAAAGTGATTGCTCCCTTCTCAATGCTCCCATTGGATGTGGTGCCTCCTTCCGTGATGGCCTCTCACCACGGGCCATCACGGGTATTATGCTAAATGGAGTGACCAACCAAAACCCTGGCCCCCACACCCAGCCTCTTGCTATAATAGGAGAGCAGCCTCTGAGTCCAAAAGCCCTTCACCTGGGCTTTGAACGCCGCTGTCTTCGCAGGAACCTTAACGCCTGTGTTCTCATGGGGAAACCTTGCCCTCTACACTGGGTCCTGCTACCAGCTTTCCAGATGCTACCATTAGTGCCTTCCCTCTCCCCAGCGCCCGGGGCTGCCTCCTCCTCTTCACAGCCAAACTGCCCCTGGTGCAATCCGCCCTCTTTCATCTTTCTTCCCTTTTCAGCCTGCTCCAGTTAGGCTTACCACCCCCTGACGCCGCCAAAACTGTTCTCCAGACTCGCCTGGTCATTCATCATTTCTCTGTCTTCATCTTGTGCTTGAAAACTAAATTTTTATGAGAAAAATTCTGTGACCAGATGGAAACAATAGTCTAAAATGCATCTAGCTCCATGTCTTCTCTGTTTAGTCTTCAAAAAATGTTAACCAACAAGACATCCTTGATTTCATCGCATTCTGAAAATACCAAGTGTGGTCTGCTGTTGTTGGAAGGATAAAGACTCTTCGCTTTTTCTTTGAGTACTTGTCTTCCATTGAAAGAAAAAAGCAATAATAATAATGATGATGATGATGATGATGATGATGATGTTATTTTTGGAGCAGAGGTTCTTAGCCTGATCTCTCAGTTTTTGATCATCATGACTTTGCTATGGAAGAATTTAAATCAGAAGCTGAAGAATAATCTGGGTTCATTGGATGTCTTAATGCTAGCATTCATATGTTAGTCTGCTTCAGAACTTACACTGCTCAAAATATCTGGTTTCTGAGATCATATAATACTGAGTTATATATATTATTTCATAATTCTTTCTTTTTGTTTTGTTAATCCTCACCAGAGGATATTTTTCCTTTGATTTTTAGAGAGAGTGAAAGGGAGGGGGAGAGACACGGAGACAAAAACGTCAATGTGAAAGGGACACATTGGTTGGTTGCCTCCCACACGGGCTCTGGGGTCCGAGGAGCAAACTGGCTAGGGCTGTTTTATAATTCTTTTTTTTTTTTTAATGTATTTTATTGATTTTTCACAGAGAGGAAGGGAGAAAGATAGAGAGCTAGAAACGTCAATGAGAGAGAAACATCGACCAGCTGCCTCTTGCACACCCTCTAACGGGAATGTGCCCGCAACCAATGTACATGCCCTTGACTGGAATCGAACCTGGGACCTTTCAGTCCGCAGACCGACACTCTACCACTGAGCCAAACCGGCTTCGGCTATTTTATAATTCTTGATCATCAAATAGATGTGCTGTTGGTCTGTGCAGAGAATTGTGCATCATGAAAAAAAGGTCATGCTCTTACTAGAAACCTTACTTTACTGTTTTCCTTCTTCTAATAAGTATTTTCAAAACTTAATATCCTTCGAAAGGGAAGCAAATTAAGCATACCACAATTCTAATCATTAACCTAAACTTTTTACGCTCTTTTTGTTTCATAATGTTGAAGGATATCAGAGCATTGTAAACTTGGAGGACACACACATCACAGATAAGGCCCTACACCTCATGAGGCAAAATCTCACGGAAGATCTGGGCAAAGAGCATTTTTTTCTCTCTACCTTACAAAAGATATTTTTGTTGTTTTCTCCTATCATAAAAGTTTATTTTCTTCTTCTAAAATGAAATACCTCCTCTTATCACACTCTGTGTGTGGTGTGTGTGTATAGTAAATCATTTAGTTGCAATAGTTCGTTGTTAGAAATCTTGCATGTTGATTAATCCGATCTGCCTGTCTTCCAGTTCCACCAAACCCCACAGCTTTCCAAGCTCATGTGAAATTCTGACTTGGCTGCTCTCTGCTGGGTGGACATTGGACAGAGGACCCCAGCTTCCTCCACATTGCTTAGGTCGCTCCTGACTCCAGTCTGCATCAGAAAAACGTTTGAATCAGGTTTTGATGATTGCAGTAACCATTTAAAAGCTAATACTTTAGCCCTAACCGGTTTGGCTCAATGGATAGAGCATCGGCCTGCAGACTGGAAGGTCCCAGGTTCGATTCCGGTCAAGGGCACGTACCTTGGTTGCGGGCACATCCCCAGTAGGGGGTGTGCAAGAGGCAGCTGATCGATGATTCTCTCTCATCGATGTTTGTAACTCTCTATTCCTCTCTCTTTCTCTCTGTAAAAAAATAAAAGCTAATACTTTAGCCCTAACCGGTTTGGCTCAGTGGATAGAGTTTTGGTCTGCGGACTGAAAGGTCCCAGGTTTGATTCTAGTCAAGGGCATGTACCTCGGTTGCGGGCACTTCGCCAGTAGGAAGTGTGCAGAAGGCAGCTAATGGATGTTTTTCTCTCATTGATGTTTCTAACTCTCTATCCTTCTCCCTCCTCTCTGTAAAAAATCAATAAAATATTTTTTAAAAAATAAAAGCTAATACTTCTAATATGACTTCATTGTGCTAGGCACTATTTAACATGGACTTCCCTCAAGAACTTATTCTATTATTTTCTCAGTTTTCAGTTCACGAGGCTGAGGCTCAGAGAAGTAACATGCTGGAGATCACACAGCTAGGACTTGCTAGCAACAGGACTCAGCTTTCCCAAGCAGTGCTGAAGCTCGTCCTCATAACCATCTGGCCACATCTCCCAAGCCAGGATTCCTGGCACTGTTCCCCATCGGTGCAGGGTGTCTGTCCTCACTGTGCCCAGCCCGTGGCTCTGCTTCTAAGCTAAGAACTCAGCGCTGCCCTTTAATTGGATCGACAATGGCTGCTTCATTAAGCTGGGACCTCAGCCCTAATTGTTAGCAGCCACACAAAGTGTTCCATTTTTTTTTTCCAGGTGGCTAAGACTTTACAATAATGATACTCTATTTACAATTGCCAGAAGACAACAAACAGTCATTTTTAAAAATATATATTTTATCGATTTTTTACAGAGAGGAAGGGAGAGGGATAGAGAGCTAGAAACATCGATGAGAGAGAAACACCAATTAGCTGCCTCCTGCACACCCCCCACTGGGGATGTGCCCGCAACCAAGGTACATGCCCTTGACCGGAATCGAACCTGGGACCTTCCAGTCCACAGGCCGACGCTCTATCCACTGAGCCAAACCGGTTTCAGCCAAACAGTCATTTTATAACGTCTAAATTTTGTGTTCAAATATTACCTAAATGTTGTCCTCATTAGTCAGGTCATTTTCAATCACTGCGAGTGTGTGTGGTTGTTTTTCACCCAGACGGTCTGTGCCAACACTAATTAGAATACAAACAAAAATAAGACAGACTTCCTCTTCTTTATGAAGGATAAAGCTGCCGAAAGAAGGGTTAAGTGTGAGCTGTTTAAAAAGGCAGCCGCTGCCCACATGTGGCTACTGAGCATCTGAGATGTGGCTGGCTCGAACTGAGCTGTGCGGTTCAAGTAAAACACAAAGCAGATTCCGAACGCTCAGAACACAGAGCAGGCTGCACAGGAGCCCAGGAGCAGCGTTGCCACCAGTCACGTGTTGAAATGACAGTATCTCGCTCAACATAAAATGCATTACTAAAGTCCACTTCCCTTGTTTCTTTTCACCTTCCTCATGTGGCTACTAGGAAATCTTGAACTCCATCTGTGGTTCTGCATGTCCCTATGGAACGCGACTGGGAGAAAGCAAGTGTTTGTGCGAGTGGAGTGAAGCAGTTGGTAGCGTCTATATTCATCTGTGAAAAGCATACTTTTCAGTGACAATTCTACCTTTTTCTCAAGGTACTGCCCCATCGGACGGTCACTGTATCCCTAAGGACCCCGAGAAATGGCACCTCCTCCTCTGGAGAGATTCTCAGGCTGACTGTTCACTCCTCGGACATGTGGACCCCGGATGACCCATCCAGAACAAAAAAAAGTACCAGCCTCTCTCGGGTGGGTGTCAGAGCGCCCTGCCCGGCTCTGAGCGGCGGTCACTGGCACGGAGCGCCCTCTCTGCCGGGGGATGACAGCTCCCAGCGCCGCGGTGCGGAGCCAGAGGGCGCCCACGGGGTCGTTACATAATGCCCGGTAGCATGCGGCCAAGCGGGTCTGTGCCGGGCCGGTGGGCAGGCTCTGCCACGCAGACCAGGCATCACTGCGATGTTTGGACAGAGCGTGTGCTAGAGGCTGTTTGTTTGGAGAAAACACACTCTCTCTCTCTCTCTCTCTCTCTCTCTCTCTCTCTCTCTCTCTCTCTCTCTCTCTCTCTCTCTTTCTCCCCCTCTCTTTTAAGCACTTTGGCGTAATACTGAGTGACTGTTTTCAAGCCTTCCTTCGTCAAGAAAAAGCCTGAGTCTTCCTTCCCTGCAGGACACAAGTGTTATTTTTGGAGCGGAGGTTCTTAGCCTGATCTCTGTCTAAACCGATTTCTGTTCTTCTGAGGTCGTGGTCTGGGGCGGCGCTGAGCGATCTCCGTGGAGGGAAGCTTCCTGGCTCCTCGAGGGAGGTGGGCAGAGCTGCGGAGGGGCCACCCTGAAACTTGCCCACCCACACCTCACCTACAGGTTCCCGTGCGCTCAGATTGTGCCCTAGGAACAGGCGTGGCCCCAGGTGTGAACTGGTGTGCTCCTCCTGCTTGTGTCACTTGGTGGGACGTTTGGGGTGAAGGTGACTCCCCCTTTTTAGCCCGGTTCTGTAGGTCACTGACTCCTCAGAACTGAGAACGCCACAGCCGGACAACCCCTGCGGACCACTCCGGGTGGGGGCCGTGGGAGAGCACAGCCCTCGGCGAGGCCGCAAGGGCCTCCAGGGATGGCTCAGGATCCCGCGTCCGGAGCACCCTCCCCACGGCCGCTCTGCCGCAGGCTGCCGGTCGCCGGGAGGGAATGCAAGCTCCAGCTTCTCGCCGCTCCTCTTCCTGACCTGCCATCCCAGGGGTTGCGGAGCTTGAAGCTGCGAGGAAGCACGTGAGATTAGAAACAGCTGAACACACACACGTGGCCCCGCCTCGCTCCCACTCCCTTCCTTTGGAAACTGGTCGCTGGGTGTTCGGGGAGCAGGTGTGCACAGAGGAAGGTGATGCCCAAGGAGCCCCTGCAGGTGCCTCAGGCTCCCAGGACGGGAGGCACCTGCGACGCGTCCCTCCCTGACATAGCCAGCAAAGCCTCTTACCTGGGGAACCGCTCTCTGCACCCCCCCCCCCCCACACACACACACACCCCTGCAGACCAGAGCCTCCCTGCAAATCCCGCAGGAGTTACTGCCCCTGGGCACCCACACCCGCCAGCTGGCAGCCGGCCCTGGCCGAGTCCCCCGCGGCCTCCAGCCCGCCTCTCCTTCCCCTGTGCTCAGCCGTGGTGGACATGGGGGCCTGGACAACCTGATGGCCCACACGGCCTACCTGCAGGCCGGCAAGGCGGGGGAGGGAGAGCGCCGGGAGCTGCGGCGGCGCCCGCTCCGCCAGGCGCTGCCCACCCCCACTCCCACAGCCTGTGCCAGCAGCAGCCCGTGGGCCGCCGCCTCTTCCGGGCCTTCCTGGCCACGGAGCCCCGGTACCGAGAGGCCGCGGCCTCCTGCGCAGGTGCAGAGCTGGGCGCTGGCGGAGGGCCCGGCCAAGGGCAGCAGGCTAGCAGGCTGCAGGCGCTGGTGGCCGCTGCTGGCGGCCCTGCCCCCGGGCACCCACCCGCCTTCCTCGGCCCGGCTCTGAGCGCCAGGTGCCTGGCCGCCACCGCTGAGGATGAGCGGGCAGCCCTGGTGGCGCTGGACCGGGCCGAGGCCACGGCCTTCCTGCAGGGCCAGCCCCTCCTACGGCCAGTTCCTGCGCTGGAAGGCCTTGGAGATGCAGCGGGGGTCGGAGCAGTGCCTCGCCGAGTTCCGCGTGCTGGGGAAAGGCGGCTCCGGGAGGTAGGCGTCTCCGCACAGCCAGGTTGGAAGCTGAAGGATTCTGCATAAAAGGGGTTTGCTTTGTTTCGCCTTTTCTTCCTTCTTCTTTGATTTCAAGGGAACTTCCTTAAAACTCATTTCATGCCACCTGTGGCGAATTCCTGGCACGCTCTCCCCTCTCCTCCCTCGCCACCCTGTGAAATAAAATGAGATGGCATAGGGAAGACAAATGAAATGTGGAGCTGGCCAAGAATCTTTCTCTTGGGGTCCACACCAGGCACCCCCTGCGGGGCCCCCGGGGACATGATGGAGAATGGCAGCAGGTGATGGGGAGCCCCTTTTCCCTTTAGTGGTGATGGGGGGCAGGGGGGGTGTGGGCCGTGGATTGAGACAAACGGCAGAGATATGAAAAAACACTCATCTTAAGGTAAAGTGGAGAATTCATTGTGCACCACTGCTGTGCTCAGCTCTTTCTTTTTTTAAGTAAGAAAAAAATTTTTTTGAGGTAAAATTCACATGAGATTAAACTTAATCATTTATAAGGTAAAATCACATCACAAAATTAACCATTAGCCATATAGGGTGTACCATTCAGTAGCATCCAGGACATTACAATGTTGTAGAACCATCACCCCTACGAGACACTTCCATCCTTCCTGTCACTCCCCCTCCCCCCTCCGCCCTGTCCCCGGCGACAGCTGGTCTGCTTTCTGTCTCTGGATGCGCCTATCCTCATGTTTCATGTAAATGGGATCAGACAATCTGTCACCTTTGGTGTCTGGCTGCTTTCAATGGGCATAGTTTTTGGTGGTTCCTTCATGCTGTAGCATGTGTTATTCCTGTCCAGGGCTGGGTAACACGCTATTGCATGGGCATGTTACCTTTCCTTTGTCCAGTCACCCATTGGTGGGCACCTGCTTGTTTTTACCCTCTGGCTGCGGTGGACAGGACCACTGTGAGCACTTATGGAGGAACCACCAAACATTTACACTCTATGTTCCCACCAGCAATGCCGGGGGTGCCAGCGTCTTCGCATCCTCGCCAACACCTGTTGTTACAGCTTCTCTTTTCTCAGATGCCTGCCATCTGTTCGCTTTGGCTGATTTCTACCCCTCCACCTTCCACATCCTGCCCCCACCCCTCCAGTGCATTCTACTATATATATATATATATATGATTGATTTTTTTACAGAGAGGAAGAGAGAGAGATAGTTAGATACATCAATAAGAGAGAAACATCAATCAGCTGCCTCCCTGCACATACTGGGGATGTGCCCGCAACCAAGGTACATGCCCTTGACCAGAATCGAACCTGGGACCCTTCAGTCGGTAGGCCGACACTCTATCCACTGAGCCAAACCGGTTAGGGCTACTTCTACTTCTTCCTCTCCCTCTCTTCCTCTCCTTTTAGGTATGTGCTGTCCAGGTGAAAAACACTGGCAAGACGTATGCCTGTAAGAAGCTGGACAAGAAGGGGCTGCAGAAGAAACACGGTGAGAAAATGGCTCTCCTGCCAAAGGAGACCTGGAGAGGATCAGCAGCCCTTTCGTTGTCTCTCTGGCCTACGCCTTTGAGAGCAAGTCCCACCTGTGCCTGGTCCTGAGCCTGATGAACGGGGGAGACCTCAAGGTCCACACCTACAGCGTGGGCCCCCTCGGCCTGGCCACGAGCAGGGCCGTCTGCTCCTCGGCCCAGATGGCCTGCGGGTCGCTGCACCTGCACTCCCTCGGCATCGTCTACCGGGACCTGACGCCCGAGAACGTGCTCCTGGACGGCGATGGCCACCGCAGGCTGTCCGACCTGGGGCTGGCCGTGCAGACCCGGGAAGGCAGGCCCGTCACCCAGAAGGTGAGGGGCTCTCCCTCTGCCCGTAGGGCAGGGCACAGCGTTGGAGAGGAGAGGGCTGTTCTATTCCCAGGCCAAACAGAGCCTTGGGCCTAATTCTTCTGATTTCCTTTTCCCTAAAGCCCTCGGGTTGTCGTCCTGCCTGGGGGTGGTGGTGTAAGAGGATTAGCTCAGCTGGTTGTTTGGGGGCTACTTAGCCGTCCTCTCGGTGGAGGCTGAGGGGGGCCTTCTTGGTGAGCGGGAGGTAGTCCGTGCTGAACCTAACGTCAGGGCCTGGGTTCCTTCCACGGATAACCAGCCTCCTGGTGCCGTGTACCTGAGTCAACAGAGCCTTGGTTTTCTTCTCTGGAAAACGAGGGGCTGGACCCTAAAATTCCAGGGACTGGTCCCTAAAATCCAGAATTTTTGCAGGTAAACTTCAATAGGATGAGACAAAGAAAAAGAAGAAACCCCTGGCTCTTAGCATGTTGAATTAAATAAGGCCCTGTCTGTGGAGTGTGGAATGGGGGATGTTTTATATTACATGAAGATGAAATTCGAACTGAAGTGTATAAAAGAGGACAAAGGCAACTGATGTGTACTAGTATTTTTTATTTATTTATTTTTTTGCTGATTAACTGTTGTCTCTTCTGTTTAGTGTTCTTTGATGTGTACTAGTATTTTGATCAATTTTGGAGAAAGTGGCTTGCAGAGAATTCTTTGATTAAAAAGAGAAGTAGCCCTGGCCAGCAGTTAGAGCATGGGCCTGCACACTGGAAGGCTTCAGGTTTGATTCCTAGTCTAGGGCATATACCTCAATTGCAGGGTCGACCTCTACCCCAAATTTGGGCAAATGCAGGAGGAAGCCAATCAATGTGTCCTCTCACATTGATGTTTCTCTCTCTTTCTCTTTTTCTCTCTTCTCTCTCCCTCTCCCTACCTCCCCTCCCTTCCACGCTTTCTAAAAATCAATGGAAAAAATATTCTCACTCCTTGGATGGGGGTTTTAAAAAGGGGAGTGGGAAATCCTATACAATAAAACCCTAATATGCAAATAGACCCAATAGCAGAACATCCAGTCACTATGACACGCACTGACCACCAGGGGCCAGACGCTCAGTGCAGGAGCTGCCTCCTATGGGAGTGACGCTCAGCCAGAAGCTGGGCTCATGGCTGGCGAGTGCAGCAGCAGTTGCAGGAGCCTCTCCTGCCTCTGCTGTAGGTAGGCAGTAAGGAGCGAGAGGGCCCCGAACTGCAAGAGGGATATCTGCCTGCTGACTTAGGCCTGATCCCTAGGCCTAAGCCTGCAGGCAGACATCCCCCGAGGGGTCCCAGACTATGAGAGGGTGCAGGCCAGGCTGAGGGACACCTCTCCCCCAGTGTACAAATTTTGTTTGTACTTCTAGTTATATATGTAATTAAGCAATTTTGTTAAGTAAACAATACAAAGTCTCTGGAATTCTGACAGGTCTTTACCACTGAGTTTCGGTGAATAAAGGTGGGAGATTCCTCAGGAAGACAAGGGCCCAAGGCTGGGACTTTTCAGATTCAGCATTCAATGTGGGCAACAGTGACCACAGATTTTATGGAACATGGGTCCTTAAAACTTGTTATTTAGTCAAGACTAGACATGAAGTTAGAATAATAACCCAAAAGCTTTTCCACATTTGGTTACCTTGTTCTGCCTTAAAGCCTCTGACCTACTCCTTACATTCAGAAGGATAGTGGGTGACAGAGGCTGAGCATTATATATATATATATATATATATATATATATAATTGATTTTTTTACAGAGAGGAAGGGAGAGAGATAGAGAGTTAGAAACATCGATGAGAGAGAAACATCGATCAGCCACCTCTTGCACACTCCCTACTGGGGGATGTGCCCACAACCAAGGTACATGCCCTTGACCAGAATCGAACCTGGGACCCTTCAGTCCACAGGCTGATGCTCTATCCACTGAGCCAAACCAGTTAGGGCTGGGCATTATTATCTTTATTTTTAAGCCTTTATTATACTGAACACAATGCTATAGACACACTGAGTTAAGTGATCTTTAAGAGATTTCTGAATATGTTATCAGAGGTTAACACCTACAGACATAACCATTGTGACCCTGCTCCAAATTTTTTTCTTTTTGAAATTTATTTCTGGGTAATAGTTTAAGAGCCTCCCAGGAGAGGCATTCCGGTTACTTCATGGTCTCCACCAAAATTATAACCACCGTCAGTTCCTACAAACTTTTTTTACAAACTGATTTTAGAGATCAAGAGGAAGGGAGAGACAGCGATTTGTTGTTCCACTTATTTATGCATCCAATGGTTAGTTCCTGCATGTGCCCTGACCAGGAATCAAACCTGAAATCTTGGCATATTGGGACGATGCTCTAACCCAGTGGTCGGCAAACTCATTAGTCAACAGAGCCAAATATCAACAGTACGACGATTGAAATTTCTTTTGAGAGCCAAATTTTTTAAACTTAAACCTCTTCTAACACCACTTCTTCAAAATATACTCGCCCAGGCTGTAGTATTTTTGTGGAAGAGCCACACTCAAGGGGCCAAAGAGCCGCATATGGCTCACGAGCCGCAGTTTGCCAACCACAGCTCTAACCAACTGAGTTACCCAGCTAGGGCCTAGGAACTGGCCCTCTACAAAAACTTCAAGGCCAGCCCGGCCAGCATGGCTCAGTAGCTGAGCATCAGCCTATGAACCAGGAGATCACAGTTCAGTTTCCGGTCAGGGCATATGCCTGGGTTGCTGGCTTGATCCCCCATGTGGAGTGTGCAGGAGGCAACTGGTTGACGATTCTCATCATTGATGTTTCTATCTCTCCCTCCCTTTCTTTCCTCTCTGAAATATATATATTAGAAGAAAAACCTTCAAATCCATTTTCAAAGTATTTACTACTATTAAGAGTATTCAACAATCTTCATAGCAGTTTTGGAATTACTTTAACATTCCTTCATTGAAAAGGCAGTCATTCATTCATTCACTCACTCAAGGAATTATTCAACATACACTTATTGAGCATTTTCCAGGACTGAGTAAACATGCAGGATAGAATGATGAGCTAAAAACGGACATGGTTTTCTGCCCACACGGGTCTAGTAGGGGAGAGATAGAACTTAGTAATAATTAGAACGAATGTAAGATTTCAATTATGATAAATGCTGTGAAAATGTGGTACATGGGGCTCTCCACGGAGGATTTGACTTAACATGTGAGGATCAGAATTAACCGCAGGGAAATACAACGTATTTGCTGTTGAGAGAGAGACAGGCATTTACTCAGCAAAGAAGTTGGGGTGGTATCTGAGGCTGTGTTCCCTGGAAACGGACTCTGAGACAGACTTACACATGTAAGATTTATTAGGGTGCAATCCCATGAGATACAAGCATGAGGAAGGCAGGGTTGGCAAAGAGAGACGCTGACCCACAATGAACTTGAACTAAGTAATTCCTCAGGCAGTCCCTCGGTGAGCTCTGGAGTCGCGGTGGCTCTAGAGTTGTCCAGGCGTTTGTATCCCTCCATGAGCCTGTCGGTGACCTTGGCCAGCTGCCAGAATGGGGGAACCTTGGATGAGCAGTTCCCTGATGCAAAGGGGCGGTGACAAGGCAGTGTGGTTGGGGCTGTGCAGGTTGGGTGAACGGAGGGCACCCAGTCTGACAGAGGGACATGGGGTGGGGAAGGACTTCCAGGGGGAAATGACAACCAGTTCAACACTTGCACAGCACAGAAGGTAGGCAGGAAAGAGGAAGGAGTGTAGGCCAGGCAAAGGGATTGGCAGATGTTCATGATCCTCAACCAAGGGCGATTTGGGCCCCAGGGGACGAGTGGCAACGTCGGGGGACAGTTTTGGTTGTCATGCCTGGTGACTAGTGGGTAGAGGCCAGGGCTGCTGCTAGTTTTGGGCCATGCTCAGTGCAGCATCCCTCCTCAAAGAACGGGCTGGCCCACAATGCCTGTGGTGCCGCGGTTGAAAACCCTAGCCAAGGTAAATTCATAGAACAGAGTGGCTCTGCAACTGTCTAGAACATGTGATCATAGCGTGTCAGGGGTGACAAAGAGAACAAGTAGAGATGCCAGCCTAGGAGGCTGGAGGAGTCAGATAAGGATATTTGAACCTGATGCCACAGGTGTGTTGGGTGGGGAGCCACTGAAGATTTTCAGGGTTGAAAGTGACGCCTGTTGGGAGCTCAGAGCATCCCTTCAGATTAAGGGCAGCTGATGGAAAATGCTCCATAGGATCACAAGATGGAAGGAGGGTGAATGTGCAAAGGAGTCTGCCACTCACTATGGCTGCTGTGTACAGAGGCCAGGCTGACCCCTCACGGGGGCACCTGGCCAGGAGACAGTGGGGACTGATGGCTAACCCATGCTCCGTGCACGTGGCATGCAGAATGCCTTCTTCCAAATGCCCCTTTGGCCACAGCCCTGTACTTGACCCCAGGGAAGCTATGCCTGTTCTCTAAGCCTGGTTATTGCCACCTGCTTCTTAGGCTTGATGAGAAGATTAAGTAACAAGATAGATAAATGCCTAGCAAAGGGTCAGCTACTTGGTAGGCAATCAAGAAACGACTATTCTAAAAAAAAAAAAAAGAAAGAAAGAAAGAAAGAGAAAAGAAGAAGAAGAAGAAAGAGAAGAAGAAGAAGAAGAAGAAGAAGAAGAAGAAGAAAAATGTTGTTCTGACTATCTATATATATAAAAGCATAAGCAACCAGCCAACTGGCCAGTAGCTATGACACACAATGAGCACCAGGGGGCAGACACTCAATGCAGGAGCAGCCAAGCAACAGCAACTTTGCAGAGTCCCCTTTGACACTCCGGGACCCCCGCAGGGGATGTCAGACTGCCAGTTTTGGCCTGATCCCCCCAGGCCAGGCCAAGCGACCCCACCTGCCAGAGGGATCCCGCTCACTCTGCAGATGCCCTGCGAGCCCTGGCACTGCCCCAGATGCAGCCAGCTGGGGTGGGACCGTAGGAAGTTGGCTCCAGGGCGTGTCTGGCCCATCTAACTCA